CATTCATATCAAATAGATTGTGTAATTTATTTAATTTCTATACAACGTATCCGCAAAATCAAGCGCGATAGTTTTATCCTGACCGCTCCTTTTCTAAAGGACGTTTTATTTAAAACCTTCGTCCGTTGAAAAGAGGCAGGATTAGCACAGCACTTCACCTACCTATGCTTGTCCGTGGCATTCTTCTCAACCTAACAGCGAAGCTACTCAACGCGAAAAGGGCGAGTTAAACCACATCAACTGTGCAGTCGACCCGTTGAATGACTAGCTAGCTAGGTAACTAGCTGTTGCATGGTAACGTACCCATAGCGTAGTTAATCACTCTGTCATTTGAGTCAATTCATCTTATCTGTTGCAGTACTGACAACATTGATATGTCTTGCTTCTACAGCATAAGCAATAACTTTCTCAGCAATGCATATACTGATAGCTACTAGAAGTATTCACAGTAGAAAGATAAAATGTAGAGATCAAATATATAATAGCATTCAAGCTGAGTTGTAAATAGTAGTTGTGAACTCCTGTCTATATAAGCTGTGTGGCCAAGGGCCGCTAACTCCATTAGTTGCACGAGGGATTGGAATAGGGGTAAGGGATCTGCGAGGAGCGGGATTTCTTACATCTATCAATTTTTCTAGTGGTCAATCATAGATAATTTGTACTATATGAATAGAGACATAATTTTACCTGAATATGAGATCTTTCTCATAGAATTTCAAGTGATTTTGATCAAGTAGTTGTATATAGAACTGGGCAGTTGCACGGTTGCACCAGTAGAATATTGGTTGAGAGGTGCGGATACTTTTGCGTTAGTACAGTACGTGTACAATACGGAGTACATAGTTGTACATAGTTACATGTTCATCCAATCCATCACCGATGCGTCAGTAAGACAATAAATAGTAAGTAAAAGTCATGCTACGCTATATTTAGCATCTAGTCTTAACCACGGTAGAAGTAATGTTAATTATTATACATAACTTGATAGACATACTCCGTACACGTACCATACATGGAACATGGGGGATAAAAAGGCTAATTTTGGAACGGGACGGGGATTACTTATGCAGATATTAAAAATATTTTTGGGTGTATTTAATGGTTTTATTTGTATATACATGAGGAATGATGTCTTGTGCTTTGTGCGTGTGCTGGCTTGTGAGGGCGGGTAATAAATATCCAGGTGGGAAGTTGGTTGTAGGTAGTAAGTACAGGCTTCAGGCCCCAACGATGAATGAAGAAGCAACTTTCTCTCTGTCTTCGGGATTTTTCTAAACCTCTGTATGCATGGGTGTATGTGTAGGTGTGGGTGTGGGTGTATTTGTATTTATGTAAAGGTAAACTTGCGTATCAGCGGCATCAAGGGGTTGAAATGGTTAGAAGTAGGTTGTAGGGAGACGAGAAGATAATGAGGTTGTTGGGTAGAGGTCGCTTGGAGAGATGGTGAGCCGGTGGATAATGAGCACGAGGGTCGGAGGATGAGTTAATATATATGGGAGAAGAAAGGTTGTAACAATATCCTTTTGAACAGGCCATGCAGATGGGATTCAAACAACAACAAAATAGGGGGAAGAGTAGAAAAGTGAAAGAAAAAGGTAAAGAAAGAAGGAAACAAACGCCTTAAAACAAGAGATTGAGAAACAGCCAGCCTCCTTGTACTCCAAAAAGACGAAGAAAAGCAAAAGAAAGAAAGAAATAATATCAAACATCCATGCTCCACCGCCAAGGTCGGATAGCAGGCCTCCTCATCCCCTGCTGCTTCTCACCATTACCGTCACAATCACACCCCTCATAATCACCGTCATAATCGTCATCGTCATCGTCATCAATATCGTAAAAATACGCTGTCTCCGGGCTGCTTACTTCCACCTGTAGACTTCGTACGAGGTCGTGTGGTTTCAGGGCAATATCGAGGGTAGAGGATGGCCAGGCTGTGTGTAGTTTTTCTGGTTGATGCTGTTGAATAGAAAATGCCTTTCCACTATCGGCTGTAGCCTTTGAGGTGGGCCGGGATTGAGGTTGTGATTGTGGTAGAGGTGGTTGTTCGGAGTCTTCAGTGGGTTTCCATGGCCACTGCCAGGATGGCGGAGGGGTGGACGAGGGTTTTACGGATGAGTTGTTGTTAGAGGCCTGTTTGGAGCCGGTGGTTGCAGAAGGAAACGCAGGACGTGGAGAGACCAGGACGACATCCTCCGTAGACAATGGCGGGGGGGAGAAGAAATGATCGGACCCCTCGTGGATTGGAGGTGGTTTATCACGCCTTCTACTACTCCGTAAAGAATCTCTGAAGGGATGTTGTTGTTCTATCCGTGCTGATAGACGTGGACAAGGACATCCATCAAGCTGTCCGTCGCCTTGCCGTTGCATCTGCTGTAGCCTTTGCCTCCTTCGAGGAGACGCTGATGCCCCCTCACCCTCCCCCTCTTCCCCATTCCCATTCCCATTCCCATTCCCATTCCCATTCCCATTCCCACCTGAAACGGCAACCCTCTCAAAGCTCCCGAACATGCGATCCCGCGCAGAAGCAGAAGCCGTAGACCGAACCTTCCCCTCCATCACCTTCGCGCTGGGCGGCGGCTGCAACATCCAGCGCGTCTCTGTACGACTAACCGGCCCACAAACCACAGGCGGATGAAGGTCGTTAATCGCTGGATTCCTCGCGACGTAGTACTTCGCGGAGCTTCCGGTGTCTGCTCTCCCGCGCCCAGATAAACCAACAGAGGAGCCCTTAACCTCTTCCCCTGGCCCTCCACTAGAAGCGCCACCATCACCACCACCCCAGAGCACCTCATCTTCCCGCTGGTACCGTATCCTATTCCAACGATCACCTAGTTCCTTCCTTGATGGGACCAGGTCATCCAGCACGCCCGACACGGCATCGGCTATCACACCCATGCCATTCTGAAGCGTAGATTCCTGCGATAAAGTCTGTGCGGTCGCTCCTGCAACGGCAGGACTATCGATGCTACTACCCCCCTGACTCCCCGCATCATGATCCTTCTTTCTCTTCTTGTTGTTCTTGCCATTCTTGCCATTCTTGCCATTCTGATGGTTGTTATTGTTATTATAGCTATTGTTAGTATTTCTCCGCCCAGCCCTCCTAGCCGGCGGTCCAGGCCCCAGCGCAATCTCCTCTTCCCAATATGAGTTGGTGGAGAATGGCACTGGTTGCTGGAAAACGATGGCGGGTGGCTGGTCCGTTACAAGGTCATTGTTAGCGGCGTTATGGCGAACGGCCTCGCGGTGTGTTCTTGCGGCGTCCTTTTTCCGCCTTCTGCGATCTTTGGAGGAGGCGCAAGGGGTGCAGGTTGCGTAGTAGAAGACGGCGGATTGGGCGCCGCGGAAGAGCCACATGGTGGTATATTTGTTCTCCTTCGGGGCCCTTTATCTTTTATGTCTCCTTTCTTCTTTTCTGTTTTGCAGTTTCCCTTTAACCAGGTTGGCTTTAGCCCCCTTTTTTCTTCTTTCCAGTTTCACTAATTTAGAAATGGGATCGTTGGTGAGGGTGTCGACGACCGGGAGAGTGGTGTGAGAATAGATACAGAGACGCACACATTGGCGATTATTCTAGGAGACAGACAGGTTGTTGCTTGAGTAGAGATGAGATTTTTTGTTGCTTTCTGCAGAGTAATTATGTTAGAGCAGCTTGAGTAGGTGGGACGATGGAGAAGACAATAGAACCAGGGTAAGAATAATGTGGCACTTGTTAACAACGCCAAAAAGGAGAGGAGGAATTGGGACGGAGTGTAACTAACAGACAGACAGCACAGGCTCGTTTGTCCCACCTGCCACAGTGATGCGCAGTTACCTTTGAATTGTCCTATTCTTCAGTCCAATACAGGCCAATCGTTACTATAGTATGGTATACAGACTGTACTTGGGACCAAGTTCAATCCAGCGATGTTCTCAGTCAGTTGTACCCGTGAAGGGGAAGCCAATGAATTCAATTCCCAGTATTCTCAGTATTCTCAGATGTGGTAGCGAAACCAGCACGATAGAGAGGAGGATCATGGGGATGAACACTTCGACTCTGGTTGTAGCAGCTGCTGCTGCATGTGCGCAGTTGCTGGAGGGCAGCGGGACACCAGGTGGGGAGAGCAAGCGGCAGAGACGGAGGTAGATCTGAGAGATAAACCTAGCATTTAGTAGAAAGGGGTTGTTCTCTGCGGGTATTTTTAAGGTGAGTTTCCGGGCATTTATTTCGATTGAGTTGGCGAAGTTGTTTGAAGTTGAATGAAGGTGGTTGGTGGTGGTGGTGGTGGTGGTGGTCACAACAGATGCACCGGTACCAGACCCGGCCTTGCTAGACAGACATCGCCTGTAACTTAAAATAACAAGGTTCATTGCCTCCAATCTCCCCAATAATCTCCCCAATCATCTCCCCAGTAATATAATCCAGAGATTATCCCCCAAGAATCGCCCCAATACATCCCCCACTTTGCCCGTATCCCGGGTCGCGCGGTCTGGGCGTTGGGGTCTTCCTTGTGCATGTTCACCCCTGAGTTGAATTAATATAAGCGATTTGTCCATCACAAGACACTTTCATGATAGAATATCACTACTCCGTATGTGTGTTTTTACTCACCATTGAGAGAAAAATATTTTCCATATTTTCTTGGTCGCAAAAACTGCCCTTGTCATCCATGTTGTGTTTCTTTCAATTTCTGCACCTGACCACATGAATGACTGCATCGGGGCATGTGTGTCGTACCCTATAGTTATTAGGTAGTGCGGAGCCAGTACATCTGTAGCGCTTTTGTTGTTGCAAGGGCTTTCAATAATTAAAATCATACCCGGGTAACTTTCCAATACGGAGTACTACGCAGCGTAAGAGAATACTACGGAGTACGTACTAGTACTACTACAAAGTTGTTCCCCCTCTGTAACGGAAACAGGGATACTTAACCCAAGCTGGTTCTCTAACCAGCCTGTGGTACTGCAAGGATGAGATGACGGAGAACAAAATCAAGAGCAAGGGTTTGGTTTCTTGTTTCTGTTTTCAAAAAGGGCTGCCTGCCTGCCACATTGTTATTACTTCGATAATAATATATAACTATATTAACTATTATCAAGCTTTCTGAGGCAACTTTGGAAAAACTGGGACCTCCCCCTATCCACACTCTTATTTTTTTCTCGGGTGTTTGTCAACCAATTGACACAGCCGTTCATGCAAGTCATCCACGCCACAGTTTCGTTATGAAGCGCTAAGCTGCAGCTGCATGGTGATTGGGCCGCAATTCTTCGAAGCCCTACAGATCGTACACAGTACTGTACTGTACTGCTTTGAGCTGGGTCGATTAGCCCGGGCCCCTTTCTTCTGATATGGCCAAGAGAATGTTCGGCGGGCGCATCCTGTTAGAATGCGCTACTTTTCTTTTGCTATCTTCAAAGAACTTGCTGACCTTGATGATGTTGTTCTTGAGAGAAGTTGCCACTTGTCCAGTATTATAACCCGAAATTGGTCCATCTCGGACCAGTGGGCGAGCGAATGCGGCGTATTGCTGCTGCCCTCCCCACAGGAAACCCCAAACCCCTTGAGCATCTCCTCTTCTCCAGTCACTTCAATGGAACCATCAGGGCAGTCAAAGACTTGGTGCTGTTGCATTAGTTACCCATCACCTCGTCGAGCATTGAAAAGGTCCATATTCAAAAGCTGAGTTCATATCCAGCAACCTTTACAAGCTCAAACAACCCTAGAACCCACTTCCGCCGCAGCCCTACCACATCCCAGCATCGACAACTCCAGATGTAGATCACACCGCAGATGGCAGGCCAGTCTCTTGGAACATTGTAATGATGAAGTAACTACTAGCCCCCGTTGGAACGGTGTAACGGCGAGGGAATTGCGCTCCACGTATTGAAATGGGGAAGGGTTAGGAATGGTGGAGGGGGAAATCAATGAACGCCATTCTCTATGGAGGGATTTGACGCTCAGATGTAAGGTCGATCATCGATCATCGCCTCAAGGAGTTCTAGTGACTGACTGCCTTTATTTCAGTTACCGCGAAGTCGGCAGTCGGACATGAGGTCGCATATGCGATGTGGTTGTCTGGAGCAAGAACACAGACGATAGCAGCATTAAACAGACCGAAGAAAATTCAGACAAAACCCCTCAAGGGCAACAGATCCTAGCCAGATGGGAACATGGCCGAAACCACCACCTACCCCATCCAACGAAATAATTGTATCTCAATCAATCATACTCGGTGGAATGATGCAGTCCCTTAGTGGTGCCCCCCACTTCCCTTGTTCCTTTCGCGCTTTCCCTACTTTTTCCAACCATTGACTGGAGCTTCACAGAGGGGATAGGCCCAATAGAGCAGTACTCAGGACTACAATAACAATTGTCCTCAGGATGGAATAAGAAGGCCTCATGCTGTAGATGCCCTAAGGGACACAAGGAGTGGAGAAAATCATCAATTGATAGAGATAGCTAAACAAGTTTACATAACGATAGGGCTAGCGACCACTGACTGAGCAGTCAACGGGGGCGGAAAGAGAAAAAGGAAAGCTTGCAAGAAAAAGGTGTGCAAGTGAGAAGCCAACTAACTGCTAAGACTTCAGTAGATCAGGAGCGCAGCCTCTCTTTCAACACCCAGCAATAAGACCAACATAACAACCTGCTCCCCAACCCTCTCATCTGGATAATTCCAAGGTTTTAGCACGTCTCTTAGATAGATAGGTTGGACATAGTCATTTGATTGGCAGAGCTTGCTTGGTCTTTACGTATCTTGTTGCCGCCTTGTCATTGTTGCTCAGTGAGTCGCGAGTGTTAGCTTGATGGCACTGGTTGTGCAGCCGGAAGAATGTGCCTTGAAGCAAAGTTCGAGTGGAACCCCCATTGTCCAAGGCCTCAGATTGCTCGTGGTCCATATTTGCTGTCAAGCTGCCCTGAATTATCAAGCAAGGATTATGCTAATTTTGAGCTGTTCTCATCCAATTGACTTAATAATAGCCTTCAAGGTCAAAATCTCCCTGAGGCAGAAGGATCCGAAAGTCCGGGAGGCGTTTCGAGGGTATGCTGTGACTTGTCAAAGATGTTTAATTCCAGGCTTGGCGTAAAGTTCAAGAGGCGATGGTATATTTAGGCGTAGCTCGCAGTTCGGCCGTTTTGATCTAGAGTTGACTGATCCTGTAACATTTCATGTGGTATTTATCCCCAAGATTGGGGCTAGATGACTATGGAGAGTCTGAACAGGTAAATAAGGATACCGAGAATAGGGGAAAAGAAAACACCTCTGGTGTGAATGTCATGTCTGTAACTGAGAACCGTCTCTCTTTTTCCTGTATCTCCCACGAGCAGCTTTAATTTTTCCGGCTTTTCCTTTGTGGACACCAAATCTGCGAGCACACGCACGCATGTCTTCCTCCATCAATACACATGAGTTTCCTAAACGGCGCACCAGACACCATGGGCACCAGCAGCAACACCCCAGTACCCGATGGGCGATGATGACTCGACAGATTTTGGTGACTTTGTGAGCAATGAGGGTCAGGAAACTGACCTTGAAGAGGTTGCCGCGCCGTGGTACAAGTATGATGTTAAGGACATGCCACATGTTTACTGTCCTATTTGTCTTGGAGAAGTGCTCAATGGGAGATACCTGATTGAGCATAAACTTGGTGCTGTCGGCTTCTCCACCGTCTGGATGGCCCATGACCTTCAGGAAAACCTCTCATCTTGTGACATATCTTACTACTTTTGTGCTTCTTGGAAACAATAGTCACAGGGTTCTTATGTTTCCCCTGAAGGGCCCATGCCTTAACCATATCATTGTACGGAGTAAACAAGGTCTCCATGAGCCACTCGCATGTCCGCTGCCAAGCAATATTTACTGGACGCCTTGAAAAATCTACACGGGTGCCGGCACTGTGCATTATGGTGAGTAAGCCCTGCTTTCCACCCTCATTCTTTGGAGATTTAGTATTCTCATTTGTATCTACAGATTTAAATGAGAGGAACTGTATGTGGGACAACCTTCCCAGGATTGCTAAATATGAGGCACATGGCCGGCCACTCAGGCAAACCTTAACTACCATTTTGTTGAGCTCCTCAAGCAGGGAGAGCCTGTCTCACCCATTAAAGTCTCTGAGAATTTACGCACGGAGGAATTCTGTCTCAGGGACTTTGGTCTGGTAATGAGACTTGGTGAGCTCAAGACAGACAGCCACACGCTCATGGAATTTTGCTCCCCAGCTTGACTTCATTGAAAAGATCCAAGTTTTGCTTGTGGCGTGTGGAGCTACATGGTTATCTTTTCAGAGCTTTACCTTGGCTATACGTACGCCTTTCCCCAGTGGATATAAGGGTGGGGTAATAACTGGCATGGTCAGACGGTTGGGCCCACTACCTGAGTAATGGAAGAGGCATTATATCTGGTCTGAAGATGCCTTGGATCCCTGGTATGATCAGGGGACCGGGGCTGATCCAGCTTCAGATCTCGCAGCAACAATTGTTGGGGGTCCCGCGGTTGGTCGGCCCTTCTACCAGCAGTGCGTTGGTGGTGATTGAGCTCTTTTGCCCCAGTAGCCTACAGGTTATGAGACCGTTAAGCGTGAGCCCCGCTGTGGTCAACATGCATGGGTTCGATCCCAGAATGGACTTAAAAATTCCTAACAAATACCCTGGACATTTTAACAGTGCCAAGAGACATCCCAGGAGTGTGCCCTAGAAGTCCCTTTAAGCCCTAGGACTGAGTGGTCCAGTCCATTATTAAAAAGGAGCCATTGTGGGGAGGCCACTGAAGGGAGCCACTGAGAGGAAGTACTGTACTCTGTGGTAGCTGGTCCGAGGGGGGGTGTTGGGGGTCCCGCGGTTGGTCGGCCCTTCTACCAGCAGTGCGTTGGTGGTGATTGAGCTCTTTTGCCCCAGTAGCCTACAACAATTGCACTCTTTCGTCCTGAGGTTGACCTAATCGGGCGAAAACATTGTGCACTCCATTTTGTCTAAAGGATTTGTTTGGCTCCCAGAGAAACATCTGACAGCAGCGCAAACCCTACAGGACCCCTCATTCAGGGTTATTATGAAGATATACAATTGTTGATATGATCTTCTTCTCGTTTCTGTACGACTGCTATTTTTCCTCGCACTTTCTGAGCTTCTCCCTTCTTTTGATCCCTGGCGGTCGTGGAGATGGAGACCACAGAGGTCAAAGAGGTTTTGATACCGTTTGATCAGGACGTTCGCGTTGTCGCGTATCAAGGTGTCGTAATTGTATATATCTCATATGCACCAAGATTACACCGATATTCATCCTAGCTAGTTACATACAAAATATAGGGCTTTTATAATAAAAAGAATGTGCGATCCAAGAAGCTAGCAATTAGCGAGTATTAATGAGCAATTGTAGTTGGCCGATTAATATAGGAAAAGTAGTAGTAATACGAGGTTTAGTAGGGGTCATAGCGTACGACCTCTTATATCCCAACCCAAGGATTCTACAAGGTAGGGCTGGCGGCTAGTTAGTTACCGATTAGCTACATCTCAGTAATTGGCCAAGATTATGTATTATCATCAGGCGCATCAAGGTGACCATGACAGTGTCACAGCCCAATCCAGGCAGAATAGAATATAGCATGAAGCAGTATCCATTCCCCAATTAGGTGGGCTGTTAAACGACAATTCAAAGTATGGGGAAGAAAAGAAAAGGTTTTCAAAAAGCAACAGCAAGGTGCTCTGAGTGTCGATACCTTAGACACTTGATCCACATGACTAGCCCTGCTTTCACTTGGAATATTTAGATCAAGGCTTGATGACATTAGAATCCCTATATCTCCACTTAGCTTCAGTCAACATTATCATAGTTTTGGTTGTTTTCAATTCTTAGATATAGGGTGAGCATCCCTTGATGGAGACGATGTATGTACATGTACATGTAAGAGCGCATAAAATCTTCGATGGTGGCAAGATTGGGAGCTGGCTGCTTTTCAGGGAGGCATGGCACTCCTCCCTCCCCAATAACATCCAAGTCTGTCATCCTGTAAAATCCATCATCCATCCAAGTCAAGTAGAAGGCAGAAGAGGTAACAAAGTGAGATGGGTCCATATTGTTTATACACTCGTCCAACACACTCTCTCGACGATGGATTGACTCATCAGGATACTTGTTCTCATTTCAGACACTGTCATTCGCCCGACGCTCGCCTCTCCTCTCTCTTGTAGCCGTTTGTTCTAGCGACTGAAAGTCTATATCTACCCGAGATTTTGGCACTCTGAAAGTCTGGCGGATCATGCACGTCCAAGGCTCAAAAGGAAGGAAGGCAACAGGAATTTTGGAATATGGTTAAAGAAGCGTAGCATAAGAGGGAAGATTGTTAACTGATGTATGAAGAACAACCCCGGACAGGATCAAAAGAAGGGGGGAGGATAAAGATGCAGGCGACTGTAGCCATGCTGTTCCAGGAATAGTGGATGGCCCACCACTCCTCCCTCGATTGACCAGTCTGAGTGCTTTCCACATCATGGACATGGCAGTGGTATTGCTAGCTAGCAAAAACTGGCATGCAGCCTGAAAATGAATTGCAGAAGATAAGATCGCGCGAGCGAACCACCTTGAAAGGGTGAGGGCAGGAGGGAGCCGCTCGCAGATTTTTGATAGCGTTGCCTACCTAATTATGTAGGTAACGTTAAGGGTTGGGGGGTGCTCCGAAACGTCGTATCGACAAGAAACGCCCTATTCATGAGGGAAAAAAAAAAAAAGGAATTCATTCCGCGCCCTCCCTCTCTCTATCAGAGTTCCTTCCATCCCGATCACCTTTGCTCGCTCTATCATAACCCATATCATGTCGCCCGACTCGTCGATTTGCCGACTGCTGGTCCCAGTTCGAGGGTGCATGCATTCGAGTATGCGTGGCCACAGGCTAAACTAGGTGCCTGGGTGCGTTTTTGACGTGAGGAAGACTAAAAGGAACAAAGGAGGCTTCCTCCAGATCTATTTGCCATTGCCTATTTCCCAAGTCCTTTCCCCTCCCCATTTCAACTCCTGTCCAGGTAATCGACTCCTTGAGTCGTGAAATTTTTTCTCCCTTCTCCCCTTTTGCTCCGTGAATAAGTCAATCCTGCTAGACCATACCCGCACATCCAAACGTAGCGGCCAGCTCGTTGGGAATAAAATTGGGGGATATCCGCCTCTCTTCCCCCTTCCACGCCCTTCCCTACCACCCAAATGTAAGTTTTAACGGTGGGGGGCGGAAACCAACGAAAAGGCAACAAAAAAAGAAAAAAGAAAAAAAGAAGAAAGAAGAAAAAGATCAAACAAATATACACACAGAGCATGCGGGCCCTCCACCTTTTATCCCCCGGAACAAATGACCTAAAAAAGAAATGCCCTTGCTCTCAGATATTCTTCGTGCCCTTAACCACCTGCCCTTTAACCTTAGCCCAGTCAATGCCGCCATCGATTTCCTCGTCGACTTCGCCGCAGATGACGACGTTGTCGCCGCGTATTAGATACAGGCCATGTTCGACCTGCGAGCTGGGTTCTGGGTCATCGGGGGTTCGTATTATGCGCTCGACGGTCTGTGAGAGGACGAGGTTTGTGAGCTGGTCGGTGGAGAGGAGGGTACCGATTAGGGTGCGGCCGTCTACTGTTAGGATGATGACCTTTTCTGTTTTGGGCGCGGGAGGGTTAGTGTATATTTATATATACATATATTTGAGCTCCAAACGGGATGGATGGTTGCTTGTTGTTTTTCCTTTTTGACAACAGCAATAGTAGCGGAGGATTAAAAGGGTACTCAACTATTTATGTAGTATTGGAGGGACATGGTTAGTATGCAGCTAGCTATTCGAGTTCCCAGCCCCTGAGCTCTCTTCAATTGAACAGTCCTCCGAACGAAAGAGTCGGATGTAATGTCCCCCGCCCAACTCCTATCCGGGGCAAGGAAATTGCAGAGCAATTGCAGCGGTCACCGGGTGGGGAAGATAACTTCTTGCATTGGGGAGAGATAGATAGATTAGCACGGAGGACAAATGAGAGATAGTCCGCTAATCTGTATAAAACCGAACTTATTCAACTTGAGTCCCGGAAATATCACTGCTTTGTCCAGCGGCGGAGGTCGACAAAAGGCATAGACCCATGAACGTTGGCAGTTCTCTACGGAATAAATTAACGCCGAAACATTAACTTACGTTGTGGGGATAGCAATGACGTAATTTAGAGGTTCAACGCTGAACTCTAACTTTTTACACTTTGCCGGCCACTAACTCTGATTCTAACTATCGTTTACTATGTCGTTAATCTTTACTCCGTACTCTTGGGGAAACTGGACGGGAACTGATTCTATTACTTGAAAACGCTTCTGCTCGCAGTCTTCTCAGGAAATGTCCGATATCCCTCACAAGGGCTGCTGAAGAGTTCTCTCGAGTTTCATCTTCTTTCACCCTCCAAATCAGTAACTCCATTGTAACTAACTGTTCAGTTCAGCTAAGTTAGTTCCTTCTCAATGATACCCAACTCTCATAGTTGTATTATTATTATTAGTACGCAGCGACGACCACGACGACGACGACGATGACAAATCCTATTTTATTACCTCACTCTGATAATCAGAACGGCCGAAAGTTGGAGCTCCTAGACATCATACGCCAATTCCCAATAGTGTCCGTCCTTGTCCCTCATATGGGTCTTGGTGATGTCTTGAACCTATCCCGCGTCAACTCCCATTACAGAGCTGTTCTTCACGGGTTTGCGCTCCCCATCTCGGATCCTGCGGACTTGATCAACCCGGCCAACAGTAGCCGGCGCATCAGACCGGATATTCATATTGGAGACCACCAAACCTTATACTGGAAAAATATAAAGAAAAGCGGACAGCTTATCTGCTCAGAACCAACACACACAAGAGGTTTGACGCCACATTTATGCAAGTACTGCTCTTTGCCCGTCTGTGAAGCGTGCATCGTCAAAGTAGGTCTTCATTCCCCCTCTTATAGAAAGTATCGTATAGAGTGACCACTTTGTAACATTAATGCAACATGCAACAAAACAGGAATCCTTCCGCCAATCCACCTCAGCATACAAAAGTCGCACCCGCCCCTTATGCATCGACTGCTGGCTCTCTGGCCAACCCCACAATGGGCGGCGACCATCTGCACCACCGTACCACAATGATGCTTCCAACCCCGTAGCCAGCGCATACTGCATCTGTACCGCCAAGGACGGCTGGATGTGTTCGAAGTGTCGCGAGATCCAGGTCCGGACGGGCCAAGAGCCGATTGCGAAGTGTAGTGGTGAAGGGTGCGGTAGGCCGCCAGGGAAGGATAATGGTCGGAGAAGGATCTGTCTCTGGTGTCATTTGCCGCTGGTGGCGCGGCCATCTATGGAGCAGTCGCGGGAATGGTATGCGGAGAGGCATGCGTTATTGGAGGATGGTCGGTGGGATGAGTTGAATTGGGATGGCGAGATGGAGTATGAGATGGAGGTGGATGGGGGCGGAGGATCGGAAAGGGGATGGCAGAAAGATATAGAAGCAAGACAGAGTGCGCGCTAAAAGCAAACATTGTTTGGTTGAATATTCTGATCTGAATGATTGAATGAAGTATCAAATTTTTTCTATATCAGCAGAACATAGCATTAGCCACAAATCCATTCACCCTCTCTCACGCGGAGGATTGCGGTACAAAGAAAAAAAAAATAAAAAATCTCAAGAAACGGGATAGAATCGAAGATCAAAGCCTTGTTCTTTTGGCTAGTAAAGAAGATTCAAGAGAGCTAACCCAAACCTCACCCAAGTCTAATGAAATTGGCAATTAACATTGCTAAGCTACCATACATCCTAGATTCCCACTTGTAGATATTTATATCCCCCTATCCAAACAAAACTCAGAGAAAGGTTAGACAAGGCAAATCAAGACAATTTTTTTCAACGGTTCGGTAACCAGTACCAAATCCCCATCATGCACGCAAAGTAAGGACAAAAGGACAAAAATTGGGGAAGAGGAATGGAGAAAAAAACAACGTCCTCACCCCATCAACTCGCACGGTTCGAGCTAGCTAGATGGACTAAAGGCAAGTGGCTATTTATCAATTCATGTTGTTTACGTAAAACGTACAAAAACGAAAACCTGTCACTTCAAACCAACGCTGAAAGATCCAAGGGAACACTACTTCCCCTGCCAGCCCTATACAACTTCTGCCCGCCACGGAACTCCCTTGGTTTCGGAAATAGCGACTCATTCTGGAATCTAAATCTTGGATCCTCGATCCGTATTCTCTGTGAACTGCTTCGCGTACTACTGCCTCGGGAGCTGGGATGCGGTGAAGAACCACCGTTTGTAAGGGTATAGTTGCTTGGGTCGAGCAGGGAGCGGTTAGGTTGTTGTTGCTGTTGTTGCTGTTGTTGCTGTTGTTGCTGTTGCTGTTGCTGTTGCTGGGGTGCTTGATATTGATTTTGTTTGTCTGCGAAGGATGAGGGGCGAGAGGTGAGTGGGGTTGATAATAAGGATGATGTTCGCGCAGAAGAGGGAGGGGATGCTTGCGGTGGCGGGGGCGGAGGTGCTGGGGGAGCGGATGGAGCGGACGTCGGCGGTGGGGGTGGTGGATGAGATGATTGCGAGAAAGCATTTCTAGCGGCCTGCATTGCTATTGAGGCTGTAGAAGCTGCTGCGTGCGCCCCGTTGGCAACAGGCGGAGCGGCGGGAGACGGGGGTGGAGGGGTAGATCGTGATGGGGGTGGCCGGGGTGCAGCCGCTGCTGGAGGAGGTGGAGGAGCAGACGGTGGGGGAGGTGCAGGCAATACGGATGAAGGTGGTGGAGGAGGAGCCGCGGGTGGAGGTGGAGCCGAGACCTTTCGAGAAGAGACCGGGGGGGGAGGAGGAGGTTTCGATCCTAGAAATGGAGGTGGTCGTGCAGGCGTCTCCGGAGCCGATTTGGTAGAGAGATATGATATTGTGGATGATGGTCTTCCAGCTGGATGCGGAGGTACCTTTCGTAAATTTGCAACTAGAGGGTTTTCAGATGGTTGTGGAGGGCCACCGCCCGGTGTTGGAGGTGGCGGACGAACGTTTGGTGGCGGTGGTGGAGCAGTGCCAGTGGGAGCCCAAGGGCCTGGCTTCCGAGAGCTTTCAGAGTCGGAGAGATATGACGCATCTGCACTCGCACCTGTATCTATGCCGCCACGCTTCTTTAGCTTAGGCATACCCCCAGCAAATAACCCACCTAATTGCGGCGCTGAAGGGAGTGTGCCGCTTTCATCAGCATTGGTACCGGCCCCAGCTCCAGCCCCTGCACCTGTACGACCTTGATCACTATTACTCCGCAGTCTATTTCCGCCAGGGACAGGAGGGGCTAATCCACCGGGAGGTTTGGGAATGCCAGGCACGGGCGGGGCTCCGCCGATTGGAGGACCGCTTGATGCACCGGACGACTTTCCAACCATAGGTGCTGATCTGTCATTTGTTACAGCTTTCCTAAGACGAGGAGCACCTTTCGAGATGTCTGAAAGAAGGGCACCCTAAAGAACGTATTGTTAGATTGGGGGCCATATTGGAGAGGGAATTTAGGAACGCCTACCCGATCTTGTGTTATTCCTATAGGCCTGGCTGGTAGGTTACCACCAGGAGGGGGTGGAGGAGGAGGACCACCAGCCATAGGAGGCGGCGGGGGCGGGGGAGGAGGGGGAGGCATGTTGCCGTGAAGCCGCGAGATCAGTTGCGCAGGCAGTCGTTATGGACGGAGCAAGATGAGAGGCGGAAGGTTGAGAGGAGGTAGGTCGCCAAGGCTCAAGAGACAAAGCCTATTCGTAGGAGGTAAGAAGGGAATTAACGCCCGCAACACAGTTCCAACATAGGATCGTAGATAAATATACCCGGTGGGTATACAGTGGTGGAGATGGAGTAGGGTGCTGTTGCAGCAGATAAAGAGTTGTGGGCGAACGCAGTATGGTATGGTTGTTGTCCCACACCTAGAGTACATCACCGCTCGGTCATGGCTTGATTTGTGGCGCAGACAGCGGCTTAGGTAAGTTAACTAGTTAACTAAGCTAAATTGGACTGCGGCTGCACACGCCCGGTCATCGGATCTCGATCTATCTCACCTCCGGCAACGTTTAAAGACAGCTACAGAGTGTCTTGCTTCTGGAATGAAGCGCATTACGCTTCAAGCCCCGAGAAGGGCTCCTGGCTCAGTGTGCCAACTCTGCCAATTTTCGAGATCCTTTCCCCGTCGACACAGAAGCCTTCATACTCGTTCAATTCCAACATCTCCCCGATCAAACATCCTAGACTCAAATGGACCCCAACGACGGAATTTCGGTCCAGCATTTAATTTGCAAAATGGAATTGCGCGAAGTTTTGCATCAGGCGTTGCTAGCACGAGTACTCGTGGCGACCCTGAGGCCATGTTTCAGGAAGTCTTGAAAGAATTTAATACCCTAACCTCTTCCCCGCGCGTTCCACCTGAGGAAGCAGTCGGCCAATTCCTGCAACGCTGCAACGAGCTTGTGAAAATCACACTCACAATCAGCTACAAGACAGTTTCACATCCCTCCCCGCGAGGCGATAATAGTGCCACGTCGTCCCTCCTAGATCTAGACGTAGAAAACGGTGGGAATGGAACCGCATCGGACGTACAAACCGCGCCTAAAAAATCAAAGAAAACGCCCTCGCAAAACCCAAACCTCCAATCTAAAATAGCAACTGAAATATCATCAATGCTAAATAACTTCCTCCGAGATCCCAAAATTTTCATTTCGCCAGATGTCCTCCGTCAATACACGCTGCTGCAGTCACAGCTCAAGCAAGCCGACAACTTCCCCGAAATCTTCTCACTTTACGCCACGAAACCGATTCCTAACGATAACGGCTCCACCATCACCTACCATAAACCTAACCCCAAAACTGTCAAGAACGCAATCCCGCAAGACCTTGCAAACATCGCCCTCGACACAGCCATTGAGAAAAAGAACCTACCCCTCTGCCTCGCCATCATCGACGAATCCTTCTGCAAACAAGCCTACTACCGATCCAAGATATTCCGCAAAGCTGCCCTGCCATTGACAGGTCTAGCTACTGCCCCAACAGCGGCTTATGCTGCATCATCATACATATCGACCCTCCAAACGGCTATGGAACCCAGCACTGCACTCTGGGTGTCGTTCTCCGCAATTCTTGCCTATATAGGCTTTACGGCGTCTATTGGCATGGTTGCGATCACCACGGCGAATGATCAGATGATGCGCGTGGTGTGGATACCGGGCATGCCGCTGCGGGAGCGTTGGTTGCGCGAAGAGGAGCGTGCGGCTATGGATAAAGTTGCGGTGGCGTGGGGGTTTAAGGACCCGAGGAGGATTGGGGAGGAGGAAGGGGAGGAGTGGGAGAGTCTGAGGGAGTTTATTGGGATGCGGGGGATGATTTTGGATAAGACAGATTTGATGGAGGGGATGGAGTGAGTGGGAAATGGTAGCTGGGCATATCTGTGTTTTGATTTCATAAATTGTCAAACACGGATTGTATGCTGTATGTATAAATAATTATCACATTTACTCATCTTAGAATTGTTCTTCAAGAGATATGGCTGCGGATGCCTGCCTACGTTCCTAAACAAGGGCAGAGGGCAGGAAAATATAGCTAGCTCTACGCTCATGAATAAAAAGCTACTAAATCCAAGTGTAATTCAGGCGGGACAATCATATTTGATTAACGTATATTCTACATATACCTAATTCCGCCCAACTTGACACCAAGACATCACAACCACGCAACCCAACGCGAGAGAAAAGACAGCAGCGCAAAAGGAACGCTTGCATCTAATACAATCTCTTTGGCGGGGACATGGAAGCCTTGATGGTCAAGCTACCAACGTTCTGCCATCCCTTCTTCAACAAACTGACCAGGTAGTTGATGGCCAACATGATGTTGGAGATCAGTTCGTCCTCAGTCATTCCGACATTGCCAACGGCAACACCGAGACACAGAACCTTCTTCAACTGGAACTTGATGGTGGACTTGACGTCGTTGATCTTGTTGGAGAGGTCTTCGGCGTGGGAGACGGGTGTGGGGAATTTGCCAGCTGCAAGACACAGAGGGTCGTTAGGGCTATTGCTTCATGGAACTGTAACATTTGGGAGGGATGATAAAAAAAAAGAAAAAGAAAAAAGAAAAAAACAAGGCGAAAAACCTACCCTTGGAGAGACCAGGTCCCAAAAGACGGGGAACCATCTTGATGATGCTGTCGGAGGCGATGAAAGCATCATACTTGCGCGCCAGCTTCTTGATGAGCTTCTTGTTCTTGTTCAGCTTCTTCAAGTCCTCAGTGGACATGGAGTCGATACCGAGATGCTTGGCACGATCGATATCATGTTGGTCACCGAGAACGCTATTATTCATGTCCAAGTCAGTATAAGTATACCCTTCAAGATACTAGTTTCGCTATCGCTTCTTCTTCCAGAGTGCCAGGTATTGGTGTGGTGTGAAGCGGGTATTGGGTTTAAAAAAAAAAAAAATGTACCAGATGCTCATTCCAGGGCGGGGAACGGAGGGCAACTTGATGGTGCCGGAGAAACGCTTGTCACGCTGAGGATCATAGTTCTTCAAGCCGATCTGGAGCTCGACGGTCTCGAGGAAGTTCCTCTTCTTCTCGTTTAGGGAGTAATCGAGGATTTGTTGCACATTTTGGCGCACTCCGGCTGTGGTGCGAATTAAAAAAAAATGAGACGTCAGCTGTATATACACACGACTTTTTTGTATCCATCTACCCAAGGAGGAAAACGTTATTTTATGAGCCCGGGTCTGTTCATCGAGAGTTTAAACATACCGACTGTAACTTTCGACATGATGGCGACAGTCTTCCAGAAGAAATTTGATTCTTATGGTGAGGATTTGCGCTTGGGAGAACAAGATCAAGCAGTAGCAGCGGGCAGATGTTGAAGAGGAAATATGTGACGAGTTGTGGGTGCGGAACTGTCTAGTCGCATTCGGTCTAGTTTAGCCCTAATCTATTTCATCACGTGACTTCTCTTTGGTACCTAGAATATTTTCTGAATTTTGGTATTTTCTAATATGGAATAAGAGAGAAAACATTAACTACAGATTTTGATATGCACAGAAACTGTACAAATGTTAGTCGGAGTCCCCAGAACGAATTACGCGCAATTTGCTTACTCCCCTGACTTTCTGAACATATCTTTGGCACTCCATCTAAGATGCACACTCACTACAGAGTAGTTACACATCTTGGACATAATCCAGTCTAGCTGTTCTCATCCCCATCTCAACATGAAGTTTCTTAGTGTAGACATGTAGATTAGAGGGTTAACAACAGATATTAGTATTAGAATGAGTTAGAATGAGTTATATAATTGCAAAAAATATGAAGAATCAATATTATGAGAGGGCGCAGAGGGTGAGGTGCTGGATATCCATAGTGCAAGTACTTTTAATGGGGCACTGTCATAAGGTCCGAGTTGGAACCACGCTGAGCTGTTTTTCCAGCCTGAGCTGGCACCACAATCCGTTTTGTTGGCATCGTGTTCAACTGCAACCCGTGAAACAACTAGTAGAGTGCATAAGAAGCCATATTAATAATTAATTCTTTCCATCGAATTATTATTAGTGTTACAAAAGGTCAAATACAAACTAAATGTGGTTCATGTCATCATATTGTGAGGGATGAAAAAAAAAAGAACACGGCGCAAAGCCTTGCACTATCTCGCTGTCCAGATGCTGCCCTATTTACTCCTAGTCACCAAAAGAATTAATTGGAAAATCACTGAGAGTTTATCACTAGGAAAAGGCCAGGATTCCATCGACTTCTAATTCCGGATACTTTATTTTCAAATCAAGTCTAATCCGAGTAGGTGACCTCGATCTTAGCTTTCTCTACAACGTTTGCCCACCCAGGATACTGATTTCCGTCAGTCTGCATCGTTTCTTCACTACACAATAGTGGGGTTATAAAAACCAATTGGAAAAAACTTACGATTGCTCTAGCCCAAAGACAAATGACATCGCCAGGTTGAAGGGTACGAACAAAGCGGTTTCCCGACCCGCTACCAGTATCTTCATTCTCTGATTTTGCTTGTTCGTGTTCCTTACCACCATCGCCATCTAGCATCCATACAATTTCATGAGTTTCGGTTTCTCCTACTGCAACCTTATTTTTCTGAACCGGCCAGATCAACATGTTCCCCTTTTCGTCTGCCGCGAAATCCCACCCGAATGGTCGATAGGCTTCAGAGTAACCGGCGTATGTTCTATCAGGGACAGGAGGCTCCACATTGGGTGGCGGCTCTACCCCGGCGCCCGAACGATGTTTGCGACGGAGTATCGTTGCTTCAAACCATGAGAATGCGCCATGGTATGTTCCTAAATGGAATTTCATGTGAGGTCAGAAGACTGTCAATACCGGGATACTCGAGAATGTCGCAAACCTTGTGTGCCCGCTTCACCACCCCATCCCTGATCATGGCTAGCGATCTCAAATCTTACGGCCTTAATCCGCAGATCCCTTAGCTCGCCTCCGCTCTGCTTCAACTCTCTTATCTGAGGCCCTTTCAGAATCAACCCATACACCGCGGGACCATGTGAGCCGATTCTGTAACCAGCACGGGGGTTAAATGCATGTATGTCTTTCACAGAATAGTCGGCAAAGTCGAGGACTATGTCTGCAATCTCTGTAGGGAGAGCAGGGTGGGTTGCCTTGAGTATGGCGCGGACTTCCCCAACGTCAGCTGGGGAAGGGGAGTAGGTGGGAATATTTTCAGCTGTGGATTCATTGGGAGCATCGGGGGCAGTCCTGTCAGTTGGGCGAGCTGCGGTTTCGTGCGGTGCCGCAACAAGCATATCTGATAGGTTCACCATAAGTCTCCGAATAATAGCTGGCATTGTGAGGAAAAACAACCCTTATAATTTTGGTGGAAACAGAGAGCGCTTGGAAGAGAAGTTAACTGGCGAAACGATTTAGCGCCTTAGACTGCTAAGAGGCGTTGGCCGATTGATAGTGTAGATAGCTGCAGAGCGTCGAGCGATCTGATCTCACTGGCAAGAAGAATATATCAGTGTTCTTCTTAGAGAGTGTTTGTTCGGTATCTCGATACACATGCTGAATCTTGACGATGTATGTTACTACCTTACGCCGTAAGGTCCTTGAGCTTAGTCAGCCAATCATAGTGGCCTGTTACATTTACACTAACTTAATTAGACAAGGTCTATTTGGCCCCTATAACTATAGTTACACGTCATAAATTGTCGTGCTTCCCGTTCGAAAAGTGTAATCCAGATGATTTAACAAATATGTATTCATTAATTCAGTGCGAACCGCGTTCTCTAAACAGATACAAGTATCCAATGAATAAGTAACACCGTATCAGTTATCGATATATCATCCACCCCATAAATTCCGCCCCGTCAAAATTTCGCAAAATAAAATAATAATAATAGGGGAGTAAGCTTGACCCCGAGCACTCCCTTATTCGACTCCCCACCAGACTTGAGCTCCACACATTTTCCCATTGCCATCTGAGGATTGTCCAGAGCGTCCATTGCAGGGTCATTGGGAAGGAGCCTAAACCCGCACCCTTCATACAATTTCCGAGCAGCTTCGTTCTGCGCCTCCGCCCAGAGACCTAGGTTTGCCCTTGTCGCGCGCGCATAGACATAGCTTCCGCCCACGCGTCCTCAACGCTTGCCTGGACAAGTTTGCGTCCCAGGCCTTGTCTCCGTGCCTCCGCTAGAACAAACATGGAACAGGCTACATAAGCAGCCTCGGAGGCCGCAATTGTTGCCGGATCTGGAGATTGGTTAATATTCGATGCGGCCATAAAAGAGTTCCATGGAGTTTTGGATTCGGATCCGTCCGCGGGCAGCGCTCTGGGCCTGAGGAGTACTATCATCCCCAGCCATTCATCTGCTGATAGCTGTTCTATCGCGCTAATTTCTGTGTCGCCTGTTGTTTCAGTGCGAACAACAACGAATGTTTTGGCCTGTGGGTTCTGGAGACGTTCAGCCCAGACTGTGTCGTCGAATTCTGATTCTTTGTCGTATGTCGAAGAGAATGCTTTGTGGGTCTTCTTTCAATGCACGGAGGCGGGCAGTTTTATATCGTTGGCAGAGTGCGCCCATAGATGATGATAGCAGCGCTTGAGGGATGCAGATAATTTTTGTTTGGGACGCCATTCCGCGAAGGCTTGGATGTAGATACGGATTCGTGATTTGAAGATAAAACGTTTTCGAAATGCTCTCCTCAATGACTGCCCAATGCGCCACTTCGTTTGAATTTTCGAGCTGGGGCCAGTTTCCCATCTATCCCCAAGGACAAGGGTCACATGCCTCAACTAAATAAATACCCCCGGAGAGCCCCTTACGTTGAGTCATTAGTTAGACCGGTAACCCAAAAAAACGACGTGCGCGCCGTGGGATATGCGCCTGGAAGCTGGAGATCCCTTAAAGTCTCTGCATTGGTTCTGGCTAAATATTTGTTCAGTCGCCGGGGGGGCTATAAAGTTGGCATATTCATTCAAGGCTTTCGTGGATATTCTTCTGTAGGGAGGTAGTGCTGATAGTCATTTTCAGCTACAGCTCCGTCGAGGTAAAGAGCGGAACCCACAGCAGCTAGGAAGAACGAGGAGCTTTTGACAGTAATTTAACCTTTGGAACCAATGCTCTGTGTTTAGATCGACATGTCATATTAAACTGGATCATTTAACTTCCTTCCGGAATGTGGTTGAAATAAGTCACCCAAAAGGGTAAGTTAACTAACTAAACAAAATGAATTTGGACTTCTCATCTGACTGTCCCGAGCCAACAACGACGACATGACTCTGTTCACGAGTCAGTCAGCTATCCCCCCGGCCGGGTTCCTCTGCACGCACGCTCCCGTGGCCGCCGCGGTGCCGAGCGAGTCGCCAAGTGAACCGCAGCTGACGATCCGTCCGGGGTTGGTGTGGTGTGGTGTGTGTTAGCTCGGGGACAGCGCCGTGTGAGTGGTCACGAGCGAGTAGCGCACGCGCCCAGGCAGTGCAAGCTCCTGGTGAGAGCCTCGTTGTATGTTTTCAACGTCCCAAGATTTCATAAATATACGCGGCGTATAAGTGGAACTCCTCACAAAGGTGACTTGTTTAGAGCTTTAAGATTACCCGCGTTGAATTGCGGAATCTGTCAGTGTAAGTTATATATATATGTACAGAAATAGTTAATATGACAACACCAAGACCTACCACCAACACGACCAACACCAACGACCACAACAGAGACAACTCCACTAGCCCTAACAATGCTCCACTCCAAGGGGTTGCAAAGGACTACTATTCGAGCGTCACCAGCAGCAGGCCACAGTTATGGGAATCCTTTCGAAACCTTGATAACGCTATCCATTTTGCGGAATGTCAGGGCTGTTTAGTAGACGAAGCAACTCAGAATTTCGTTGTCGATTTCGGCGACGATGAAGCATATGCAGCTTTTGATCTCGAGGAGGAGGACTTTGCTGCGCTGCTGAGTTCGAAGGTATGTATGCTCATTCCCTACCTTCTTAGATCCTCCTTACCATTATCTAGGCATCGGCGTGCTATGTTATATGAAGGCTAACTTGAACTGATCCGTGGAATATAGAGACCCAAATCTTTAGAAACGAGATGGATGTAAGTTTGATAACATCGAGGATCTTTTTGATTCTATGGCTAAATGTGTTATCGTAGTAATATATGGTCACCCGAACGTCAACCGGAGCTTGTCCAGGTATGTCAAACTAGATAAGATTTATCTTAGCAGAAATTGATGTTCGAATAAAGACTGATCTGCTTCCCCTAGACTGTAGCCAGCAACTACAAAGTTTCTGCCCGCCTCCAAGCGATGATGGTTTCAGAGCCCGTCATTCCTTCACAAGAAATTTCCGCAGTTTCTCCGAAGCTCACATCCATCGACACGGATGAGCCAGAGTTAGAACCGGAAGGAAAGTCTTTGCCGGCTTCCGTGGCAGATCTAGAGGGAGGATATCAGCTAGGGGGTGTCCAGCAGGCGGGAAAGGCACTATCTTCCCTCGATGGAACGGGGTTTAGCAAAATTTCTCTTTCCCAAATTGTTAATAAGATATGGCATTTTTCGTCGGTGGACTACGGAGAGAAATGTATGGACTTGACAAGACCTCCTTTGTATCTGGTGTTACGATTTTCTCACCCATTGGTGCATACTGATGATAAGACGATTGATTAGATCTCTGTTTGGGTTATAACTCGCTACATGTCGTTTCAGGGCTTGATCTCAGGAACTCTGCAGGTAAACCGGACGGTAAAAGAGTTTGGACTTGGCTCCTGATATGCGACGATGGTTTGTTTTGGTTTTCCCTATTCTGTATTCTACCGTTCTTACTTCCTAACTCCTAAACTAACCTCTATACAAATTTAGGAACTGTAATATCAATTCATGAAACCCCATTTCCTGGCCCGAGTGGTTTGGCTCCAGGAGAACGGCAGAAAGCTGTTGAGGTCATTCGACGAAACACCAATTTGGTATTCTCCGCAATATCCTCGCAGCACATTGCTAGCGAACGTGGCAACGCGCTCATAACTACGTATGTGAGGAATTTCCCGAACGAGACCGGCACGGCAGCAATTAAACCCGGAGAAGGCGCCAGCTTACTATTCTATTACCTATTTGATAACTGGCCTGCGAACTATAACCTGGTTATCGGGCGGGAACATTCTTATAATGCAGCGCTTGATAAACTAGTGAGTGGAACTTAAATTATAGTTACCTTCCGCTGCGAAGGCAATTCATATGCCTACGTCCATTGGCGGCTAATGTTTAGAAAATATAGCGAAGACGCATGCTCGAGCGAGCACAGGTGCAGTTAATTGACGACCTGCACAGACTAGGGAGGCAGCTCGCCGTCCTTAAACGCATTTATCAGAGCTATGATTTGATTGTCAACCGTGTCCTCAAACGGCAGCGTCTGCTTCGAGAGGAGATTCGGAACTCTCAGCCCGCAAACATGCACCATCCTCCTCACCAGCGGGGCGGTCATTTCGGTCTCGACTTACTGAGCAGGGGGAACTCATGGAGACCCAACGGGTTTGACGAGATTAATCCGAGTGAACTGGGTGGCATCCAGCTTAGCTCTGCTGCTGTTGGCCGATTTGAACGACTACTTGATCGAATCAGGCTGTACGCCTTGAGTGAAATCGATGAGTGTCTAGCCGAGAAGGAATCGATGACGTTTATGGTATGATTTGCTCCCCATCTGGAGGTGTTTACTCTAATTCTGGCATTTCCATTTATACTAATTTCAATATTTTCCAGGTGTTCAATTTAATCGCCGTCAAAGATTCACAGGCGGTCGAAAGGTTGACTCGAACTACGATTCTCATAGCTAAAGCGACCATTTTCTTCCTGCCAGTCACTCTGATGACTGGGTACTTTTCGACGGAGATCGAGGAGCTCCAGGGTGTGTACACGGTGAAACAATATTGGATTGCATTTGCGGTGCTTCTGGTGCTGTCAGCGTTAGTTCTCGTGATATATGGATGGGCCACTGATACAGTTGAGGGCAAGACAATTTATGTATCCTTTGCAAAGAGTTTCTACCGCGCTTCTGTAGCGGCCTTTGGGAAAAGGAGGAAGCGCAAAGTTGGATAGAGATGAATTGGTCATGATTCCTTCCAAGTTTCAATTGATGGCGATCGGGGCTGACATGGGATTCTGCGCGTCTCCTCAGGCCGCGTATCCTGCATAACTAAAGTGGACTTCAGCACTCTAGATTGCTTCCCAAGGTTTACCATGTTCGTTCTGTGCATGTGGAACGCATGGCGGAAACCTTAAAAAACAACCTGCTACCGCATTCTGGAGAATTGGTAGGCTGCTTCATTCACTCTGTATAGGCAAAGTACGGAGTATAGCAGCCTATATATGACATTTGGGTCATATGGATATATTTTTATGTGGAATTAAGCTTTACGCTGAAAAACATTCAAAAAAATCAATTTGACCCAAATGTCACTGTAGGCTGCCGTACAAAATAGCAATATATTTGTACATGTACACACATATGGATGTTCAGACATGCAGCTTTTGTTCTATTATGTTATAATTTTTGCTTCTTGAAGACTAGAATTGTAGGAATTCTGTAGCCTCTAGAGCTGTTGTTACCTGGCATATGTATCCAGCTGGTTCCTGAGAGGAACTATCGAGGGGATATGTGTCCTCTTCTATGGGGCCCGAGCATGGCAGAACCAGGCAGACGCAATCGAAGGTAAATATAAGAAGCACGCAGTAGGGTCAACGTTTCCCATCAAAATACAACAACAGTCGAGATCAAGTAAATTTATCATCCCAAGCACCAAGCCCATATTGACTGTTAGTTGAGGAGTTTATTATTTACTCTTGCAAGTCCATCGTTCGACAAATCGTTGGGGGTTCGAGGCTTAGGTCACGTTATCTGGGTGACAAATTAACCACCGAATTCCTCGTGCTGCCAAAAATTCCACACATCCCATCCATCTCGTGGACCTCCGCAACCTCATCCCTCATCGACTCCTGACTTGTTCCATCTCCATCTCGTCCGCCCGTCTTTCCTCCGCGCCCATCTCTTAATATCCCGTGAGTCTCAATGCCCCCCTCCCCTCTTTGGCCGTGGTTGTGTCCTCCTTTCTGTTGGGCAGCACATGCTTCCCTGCGCCGGACGACTATCTCTTCTCATTGCCCCAGCCCTTACCAAACCCCATATTGCTGCCTATCTACTCTCTTGATAAGCTCAAGAGCCCCTATTCAACTACAGTACCTGTTGCACCAGTTGCAATGTTCATTTTGAAGACATTTCGCTAACTCGTTACCCACTCTCGTGTCCCCCTTAACGGTAGTTTTCTCTAATCCCTCTCCCCCCTCAATACCGCCAAGATGGGTATGGCATTTTCGAAACTGTTCGATAGAATATGGGGAAAAAAGGAAATGAGAATTCTCATGGTTGGTCTTGATGCTGCTGGAAAGACCACCATCTTGTACAAACTGAAACTCGGTGAAATCGTCACAACCATCCCTACCATCGGTGAGTTCTTCGATTCCGAACCCGATCACCAACCCTTGCCCCCTGGAAACGCCTGTGATGACGCCTGTGATGACGCCTATGGGGAAAAAGAAAGCCAAAACCCAATCACAATGCGTAGAGGGATATGGGCAACCAACGATTCTTCACCTCCTTAACAATACCAATTCTGGTGCTAATGTTCCACCCCAACTGCGTCCAGGATTCAACGTCGAGACTGTCGAATATAAGAACATTCAATTTACCGTGTGGGACGTCGGTGGACAAGACAAGATCCGACCTTTGTGGAGGCACTACTTCCAAAATACCCAGGGTATCATTTTCGTGGTTGATAGCAATGATCGTGACCGTGTTGTCGAGGCTCGGGAGGAGTTGCAGCGCATGCTGAACGAGGATGAACTACGCGACGCCCTACTTCTGGTCTTCGCTAACAAACAAGATCTCCCGGTGCGCCCCTTACTGTTCTTTCTTTACGTGTATTTGTTGCTTTGATATGTTAATAAATGTCTCGCTTGATAGAACGCTATGAGCCCAGCCGAGATCACCCAACAGCTCGGCCTACAGAGCTTGACACGACGCGCATGGGTAAGCAAACGTCCCAATTCCGAATATTTCCGCGATGCAAAAATGACCATCTACTAACCGTTCGCGTCTTTACTTATCAGTACATTCAATCTACCTGTGCTACGACTGGCGATGGTCTTTATGAAGGCCTGGAGTGGTTGGCCAATGCGTTGAAGAAGGCGGGTCATGAGTAAATGTTGAAACATGAATTGATGTGGAAGTAATCCAAACAAACCTCTTCCTCCCTTTTTTAGCCGCCCCGCTCTTCGTTCCCCCCCCCCCCTTGTCCCCCCTATCTCCACCTCTTCAATATACCTGGTAAAAATAAAAATATGCGTTGTTTGTTCCATTGGGTGGTGCAAGCAGGTTCAAAAATATCACATGGGCTTGTTGACATGTTCTGAGAGAGGGACTTTGAAAGGGAAAAACACATAAAAAAGAAAAAGAAAAAGAAAAAAAAAAAAAAAAAAAAAAAAAAAAACAGAACGAGATCACTTTTTCCCCCCCCCAACCTTTGCTTTCTTACTGGAGTCTTTTCTTTTGCTGTTGTTTCTCTTTTTTTGTTTTTTCTCTCTGGCTTGTTGCATCCATCCCCCCCTTCCACCTCCCCCGCGGGTCTGCTAATCATGTCACTATGCGCATACATCTTCAGCTCTTTGTGCCCCTCCCCCCTTGACTTCATGTTCTTTTTTTTTACTATTTATCATTATTAACTCGCCTGTTTCCTCTTTTATTGTTTTAAAGTAACTATATTATCTCAAACTTTCTACTTCGGTTCCTCTTTTTTCCTTTTCCATTCCTTATCTCGTCCTCGTACACTGTTGACCTGCTGCATTTTGGTTGCGTTGGTAGCTTTGCTTTACGCGTCCATCCGTCTCTCCATCGATCTCTCCATGCATGCATCGCCATCTTTCGATATAGAAGTATGTGCGTGTGTGCCCCTTACGAAAATCAATTAAAGGGTTCATCTCTCCCTCTTCCCGCTGTATTGGCTCGATTTGCCCAGATAAAATAGCATAGGATAAGGGCCTTGGTGTGTGGCTACGTAGGAAATTCGTGCTCTGCTCGTCCGGCCCCGGCTAGCCTGCCTTTGATTTTGATATCACTACTCACCTCACTTCAGCCTTCAGCCCACGGGTAGTAAAAGGGAGAAAGAGAGGCGTCGCGCATCCTGCCCACACCCCCCCCCCCCCTCGCATTTTTTTATATTCTTTTTTTTAACACTTTGACATGAGATATGTGTAGATGTCATTTCGTCCGTCAGATGGTTCTCTTTTTCGGTTCTATCTCTTGCACCAGTGCGCTGCCACTTTCTTCTCTTGTCATTCCCCTTTCTTCTCCAATATTTATTTATTCCTGTGCTCTTTCATCTCGTACATTAAGACTCCTGCCGCTTTGCTTCCACTTTCACATCGCATGTTACTCCTCCATGGTAGAGAGATGGAGGGAAGTGGAATGTGAAGAGTAGAGTAGAGTAGAGTACTTGTAGTGAGGAAGGGAGGTGTGTTCTACCCGTTCCATCCCATCCCATTCTGCAGAAGTTGCAGGTTATGCAACTGTGCAAAAGGGAAAGTATCGGAGTACTCCTTTGCAACTTCACAAATATAGCAAAATATAGCTTTGACTTTTTGCTTTCGATTTTCAATTGCAATTTCCCACGTTAAATTATTCCCATTCATTGACTTAACTAAAACATTGACAAACGGACAAAATAAAAATGGTAGATTAAAAGGCAGAAAAGGGGGCAAGAAAATCCCAAAACACGGAGTGGGCGTGAGAGGATATTTCCTGATTCATCCATCAGTCCATCCATCCAGCCATCCTCTAAACAATTAAGAAACGCACAACAAAAAGAAAAAGATATCAGCCACCGTAAAGAGCCTTTCCAGACGCCCCATTCTCATTTAAAACAATAGAACAAAAGAAGAAGAAACCCACCTGGAAGAGGGGAAACAGGCGGGGGGTTAACAAGCTTAGTGCCAGCCGGAAAAAAATGGGAAGCAGAATTAGAGGGGGGGGAGGGAAGATTAAAGAAATCGTTGAAGATTGTATGAAGAATTTGCGAAACACAGAAAGAGACAATGGAGTAAAAAAGAAGGGAAAAGCGCCTACCAGCATTTTAAATAGCAGAAGAGCGTTTTTCTCCAATTTACACTACTGCTGATTGAATTGGGGGGAGTCATTAATTTCTTTTATAAACTTGTTGCTGCTAGGAGACTTTCGCGCACGCTGTCCTAGCTGGAAAACAAATAAGAAAAAAGATTGAAACAACTTAGCACTTGGTATTTTGTTCTTTCAATGAGTGTAGGGGGCACTTGAGTGTTGAGTGTTGTTCCAGAGTTGTCTTGTGTTGGCTGCGCGGTGTCCATCTCATTTCTGTAGAGGGTTGAAAGACAAACCAATGACAATAAATTATATGCTGAGCCATCATTTTCCTTTGTGTCTACACTCTAGGCGAAATATGAGGTTTACCCTCCCCCAGACTGAACCTGGGGTGGGGAGAAGAAAATAAATACCATTTTCGCGGTTGCTCTGGTTCATGCCCCTCCCATGGGAAACCCGGGCATGTCGCACGTCGCGGATCCTGAAGCTGAAGCCTGACTTGCATTTGCGTTAAGCTCAGTAGAGTAGGAGGACCATACCTGGTCTGTTCTCACACCGTCACTTTCCGCTTCACTGCTCTCCTGCTGCTGCTTCTGCCGCTGCTGGTATTCCTGCTCATGAACCGTTGCTGGTGTGATGCCGTTGTTCGGGTCGAATTTGCGTAAATCAATCCCGCTAATCCACCACGACGCGGCGTAGATGATCTGAGTCACGCAGCGTAGTTCTTCCACGGTGCGCGGGGAGTAGATTAGGACGAAAGTGGGCGGGACGAACCGGAATCTCCACCACCAGCTTTCCCGAGCTAAGGGGTGGCGCTCACCCCAGCCTTTTTCGATGATGGTTTTGACGTCTGCTGGGTGGAGGGTGAGGTGCATGCTACCGTCGTACGCATGGGAATGGCAGATTTCGCCGTTGCATGTCAGATGGCTTTGGCATCTAGGAAGGGAGAAGAGGCCCGTGTTGTGTTTTTCGAAGCGGGAGACCCCCAGGAATAAGCTGTCTGGGTGCCGGAGAGATAGCTCTTTAATTGTTGCGGTCAAGGCGGCATATATGGCCTTCGGGCCCCGGTCAGTCATCTGCCGCTGCGGAGCAATCCCAACAACTTCTGGGCGGCTGCCGATTCGCTTGGGTAGGTCATTGAGGATCCCGCTTTGTGGATGAATGTATGATGGGATATGGGGAGGGTTCAGGGGATTACGCAAGGTAAAGATGCGCAAGACGCAGATGCGAAGATAGCCAACAGGAGTGGATGGTGTCCCACCAGGCCCAAGCGCAAGGAAATCATGATATCCCTTCCGGACCTTTCGGGCAAATGTAGCCAGGCAGAGCGCCACGAGGGTGAATAGGGTAATGGTTGGAATAGAAGATGCAAGTGGTGGATCTTGCCAGGAGAGAGTGGTAGACTGTTGCTTTGCATGTATGTGAGTTGTTGAATGCGGTTGTGCAGTGTATATAAAGCAAATCTCAGGGAGTAAACACACCATTTTGTGACAAGTTTCAGCAACAAAGCAGAGATGAGAGAAAAATTGTCTTTTAAACTATTTATTACCTATAGTTCAATGGCACACTGCTAGGAAGACAGTCCGCAGCAGAAAATGAGCGACTTGAATGTAATTGAAAGGAGCTTGTGGTTTGAAAAAAGAAGTCTAGGGTGTGCGAGGTTAGGGAGAAAAGGAGAGAAAAACGAGTGTCTTCAAGAGGAGGAGGAGGAGGAAAGTCTTTAGGAGGGAAACAGGAGCAACACACGGAGCGGGACAAGGGTGAAGAGGTGTACCTAGGGTATTATTTATTCGACCTTGCTGCTGTGTTGTCTGTCGCAGTGTATAGCTTTGTGCTAATTCTCAAGTGACTGCAGCGGAGATTTCACCGTGCGTTCCTGGGACCGGAGCCGATGAATGTGGCAGCTGCCATGTAACCCGTCAACGAACTAGCGCAACAGCGGAAGCGACTCTCCAGGCAAACTGTTGGCCTTGGATGGATTCCCAGGTATTCACGATGCGTGCCAGTCAGAATTCACCCAGAGGAGGAACACATGCCACAGCTCTCAGGACGGGAATTATGTCTCTCATTCGAGCCACATCTATACATGCTGCACCGGGTATGTTACGAGGTAGAAATAAAATGAACTTGGGGCACTTTTGTTCAAAACTGAGGATGTTCATAAGAATAGGAAGATGACCCGGCTTTTGAGCCGAGCGACGGTGAGCTGGTTGCTCATGGGACCTATCGTTGTTTGCGGCTGCTCATTCAGCTCGCAGGAGAAAATGGAGCTATCGTCAGACTTGCATCATTATGCCAGAGGGAGGGGAGCTCTGGGCCATGCTGGCCGCTGGATGCCAGTGGTTGGGATGGCAAGCCTGTGGGGGAAACAAACCTAGTGTTGAATTTTGGAAACCCTATTCCGTTCCTATTCGCCCGCTTCCCGCGCCAGGCATACTGTGTACATACGTCGATGATCGGTGAAGCCCTCTAACAGAAGAGGAAAGACAAAATACGCAGATTTCGAGGAAAGCTGCCGATCGTCGTGTGTGCACATACAGTATTCTATGTACAGCAGTGGTTGAGTTCGGTTTGTGGTTCTACGGAGGGGAGAGGGGAGTGGGCCTGCATCGTCGCAAGTCCTCCAGCGATGAAGAGCGACGGCTCGGGTTCCCGAGCTTATCAAAAGGCTGCTTTCCTCTCTCGTCTGTGTAATATTTACTGTACAGAGGATCCTCTCAAAAGTTTTGATTAGCGCTAAGAAGTTAAGCTGTAACTACACAGTAATAATAATACTGTTAACCATTCAAGGATCTTCATTCGAGAGCAGGAGACTTAGACTAGCTTTAGTTAAACAGTAGCTGGTTTATTCAGGTGCAACAGGCATTAACAACCCCCCCCCTTAAAACTCTAGTTAAGAGAGGAAATGTAAATACTTAACAGAGTTACAGCTTAAATTCTTAGTGGTAGTGGTGGCCTTGGCCTGCATCTCGGAGAGGACGGTCTAGGCCCGTATCTCGAAAATAACATTTTCTATCTCGTTATACACCTGCAACAATGTAGTATATATATCCATGGGTATAGATTCCACGCCACTGCGATAGTTACCTTTGATTGAATGTTCTGAACGCTAATGCTTAACAGAAATCTTGGCATCAGATGACATCATTGCAGAGGCAGTTTCTACTTCTCCAAGATAATAGCTAATTCATATCTCTAGTAGAGAACAGCCCTTTCTCTCTTTTCTTGAGACTTAACCTATGACGAGGAATATCTCCAAGAATCTATTTTGCTCCATGTTTACTCCTGGTCCTAGGAGCCTAATTTTCTTGTGCACTAAAAACGAAAAGGGGTATGGAAAAAATATCAGCTATTTTATATCTTGATAGCTGGTCATTCTACCAGTGGCTTGATTTGCACACTCTTGTCTCCATTTTTGGTTTATGACAAATGAAACATAATGTGTTATTATGTCATCCACACTGAAACAAAGCAAGGGGGAATCCATTCAGAGTTGGGAGTTGGCTGGAGAAGCTGGCAGATTCACTACCAGTGCATGATATTCCCCATACAAGGTCCCAGAGGCGCAGAAAAAAGCCATTTCCACGAATCACAAAACGCGCCAGGCCATGCGTAGATCAGTGTAACAGAAGGGACGAGTTAAAAGGCTAATTTGAAGACATGGGGATGAGTGGAGCAGGTGGTACCAGGCGCGGGGAAAGGAAAATTAAGTCATTGTACAATTTGAAGGAGAGTATAAGGACTGACCATGGAGCGGATGGTAAACTTAGTTCTCACACTACGGAATCCAAACACCCATCGTCCAATATTGCAGTCCGCCGCCAACGCCTTCACGTCAGTTTGGCAACTCCTGAAGTGCATTTCGTGCCGTTTGGAGTAGAGAATGTTTATTTCCCGTGGCTGGCGGGGAATATATTGTCGCCTCTAGCGGAGGGGCCTGCCTGGGGCCGTTGACGGCGCGAATGACAACGAAAGGCGACGTAGGAGGTTACAGCGGAGTTGCTGAATCGTTCTTTTCCTTATGATAGGCACTTTCAGGCAATGGGACTGGCAGGTGGGGGGTGAGTTTGCAGATAAAAGGGGGTGAGGAGTAGAGCAGAGCGTGTTATAACAGGGGCATGTATGTACTATCCATAATAGGATGCGCAGCAGCAATTATTATAACAATGCTATGAAATCAGGGCCTGCATGTTTGATGCTGACAGGCCTGAAGACAATATCAGTGGTGGTATGCAGACCATTTTGTCATTCTCAAGGAGGGGAAACGTTCTCTAACTACTCCGTATACTTATAAAGTAGGAGAGGTTGAATTGTTTGATGCACAGAATAATCATAAAACCAGATACAACACGCCATACCAGATATGGGATCTATTAACTCATAGCTGTTAGAAGTGCAGCCATACACATACACACAAGGAGTGAACATGCAACAACACTGCAATACTCGATATCTGTAACTGTTGAAACCGTTGCTCGATTGTTGCTATGGTGATTAAACTATGCACTATACTTTATTTGGATCGACGGGTGGATCCATAACTTTAAATTGCGTCTCGTGATTGGCTGATATTCCTGGATAAATTGCTTTTTCAGAGGGTCAGGGTACTTCGCGGCCCATACAGGACGTGTCAGGTCACGTGATCTGGCTTACTAATCCTTCCACCATATAACTTCCCACAAAGCTAGCAACCTTTCAATCACACAAGCTTTACACCTTCCACAGAACGCCATACAGTTCGAGGTTTCTTCAATTCTGGCGTCCGTACTCCGTACACAACCCCCTGCGACGCTGGATTCTCGAAGATGCTTGTGCAATTTTCACCTCTTTAAGGCTGTGTTTTCATATCAGATACCTCCGCTATATGCTCCCTGTTCTCGTCTTGATTTGTTATGAACCGAATGCTCTTATCGGATCATACTGGGGACGCTCTTTTCTAAAAAGAGGTTTTTTCGTTTCCCGCTCCCCCCTTCAAGGTCGCGTAAGTCTAATATTGTTGGCAAGCTCTCAGTAATCATCCCTACGCAAGCGCCTGAGACGAACCTCTGGACGCCGCGATTCCAGCACCTTGATTGATCTCTTACTTCTCTCTCGTCTTCCCTCAATTCCCTGTGCCTGGTTTGATGTCATGGTCCGCGCCGCAGAGCCAATGACACGCCGGGTGGCAGCCTCCCAGTTCCGCGACGACATTACCCAATGTCCCAAGCTGGAAATAGACACAGAGAAACAGGACTATGCCTACTCATCACGAGATACATCCCTAGACCATGATGAAGACTCCCGCACCTATCTCAAGTCTCCTTATGACACAGCGATCTCCTCAAACCCCATACTAGGCAAGCCTACACAGCCGTCGAAACGGAAGCGGAGATACCAATTCTACAGAGTACCACATTCTATTATGCGATGGATATGTTTGGGAGTGTTCATGAGCTTGCTATTGTTCATCGCGTTTCTGTTTCGCTTCACTATTTCCGGCTCCTCGTTTAGAGCGGTTCCGCTAGAACTGTCCAGACCGAAACCCAGGCCACCACAGTGGGAGAGCTTTCCGTTCCTGAGCAGATATTATGGTGGGATAAGGACGCTTGTATCAAGGCAGGATAACATCCCTGAATACCCTGGCGATGGAACTGTGGAGAAAATTATGGATTCCCCATCATATGGAAAGGAAGGGAACGATAAGTCGGATAAGAGATCTGAGGCCAAGAAGAGCTTGGTCTTCAACCCTTATCCTGATTACAAATCTGAAAGCTACGTTAAGAAATATGGCGTTAAGAATGACTGCTTTTTGGATGCGGATACGAAGACGTCGATCCCACCTGTTCGACATTTTCCGGGAATTCCCAAAGGCTTTCCCGATGCTGCGATGGGATCAAATAAGCTGCTAGGCATAAATGATGATGTTTGCTTTGAACGATTTGGTCGACTAGGTCCGTACGGCCTAGGCTATGGCATTGCCGCGGGAGGCACGGGTGGTGGCCTCGAAGGTGACAGATCTGGGATCGACGAAGTATGGAAGGAAATCCCCGCAGTTGATTTCCGGACAGTCAAATGGAGCGAAGCACAAGAGCGCTGTATTGCTGCAAACAGTCACCGATTCCCCAAGCTTGGACCCCCGAGAGTTGATCGCTTTGGGGCTATGAAAGTCGGCACCTTGCATGCAAGAGCCGAGACCGTAGGAAGCACCCCCCTAGGAGAAAATAAAGATAGCGCGTCTACTGTGGCTGCGGCGAACGACACATTAACTCTACCACGATCTGCTATTCTTATTCGAACATGGAGCGACTACCAATATAACGAGGAATCCATCATGTATCTTCGTTCGCTCATCTCGGAATTATCCTTAATGTCTGGAGGAGAATATATTGTTCATTTCCTGATCCATGTGAAAGATGACAACCTGCAAATCTGGTCGGACGATGATACCTATGATCGCGTTCTGAAGAATGCCTTGCCGGCTGAATTCCGCGGAATGGGCACCTTGTGGTCGGAAAGACAAATGGGGTTATTATATGGCGGCCTTCAAGAGACTTTTGCACGGGACCTCCCCGTCCATGGTGTCTATAGAAGCACCTTCATGCCTGTCCAATGGTTTTCACACCAACACCCAGAATATGACTTCATCTGGAACTGGGAAATGGATGCCCGGTACACGGGCCACTGGTATCACCTCTTCAGCCAAGTGAGTGAGTGGGCGAAACAGCAACCACGAAAGGGCCTCTGGGAACGCAATGCACGATTCTACGTTCCATCAGTTCATGGATCCTGGGAAGATTTCCGCCAAATGATCCGCGTGCAAACCGAGATTGGAACAGACAATCCCAATAATATGTGGGCGACTCCCCAGGACAAAAACCGCCCGAATGGGCAGCCAGAGGCCAAGGGAGACAAGCCCATCTGGGGCCCAGAACGACCACACGAGCAGGATGTCATAGAGACGGACGGTGAAGGTATCCCCCCTACCACGTACGAGAAAGACAAATACCAGTGGGGTGTGGGGGAAGACGCCGACCTGATCGTCTTCAACCCAATTTACGATCCCGAAGGCACAACCTGGCTCCTCCGCGACGATGTGACTGGATACAATAAATCAGAGGGCATGCCGCCGCGCCGAGCAGCTATTATCACCTCCGCACGCCTCTCACGAAAACTCCTCGCCACAATGCACCGCGAGACCAGCATAAAGCGCCACACGATGTTTTCAGAAATGTGGCCAGCGACTGCTGCGCTCCATCATGGCCTGAAGGCCGTCTTTGCACCCCACCCTGTGTACATTGACCGCCGCTGGCCTACCAAGTATCTGGAAGCAACGTTCAACGCGGGCCGCAATGGCGCGACGGGCGGGTCTAGGATATCTGTATTTGGCGACAGGGAGCATAATTTTAGAGGTACGACTTGGTTCTATTCTGCGGGCCATTCGCCAAATTTGTGGCGCCGTTGGTTCGGATACAGAGTCGATGGCAGGGGTGGGGAGGAGTATGAGCTTGCGACTGAGGGGAGGATGTGTTTGCCGCCTATGTTGTTACATCCGATTAAGGAGCTCGAGATGATTATTGAGAGCGTGGATCGTTGATAGTATCTACTCGATTTTTTATTTGTTTTCTTTTCTTTTCTTTTCTCTTTTCTATATTTGTGCATGGTACGGTGTGTTGTATGGCTTTCATTTTCATTTGCTTTTCTTTGTTTCTTTTCCTTTTTCTGAGTCCTCCCTTTATATTTGTGATATATGCACTTCTTACCATCGTCAATTCCCCCACTCCATGCCTTTGACATTTATCTCCGTCTAACCCCTTCACTTTGGTCTATTTCCTCCCGAATATTCTTGTGCTTTCTTATCTCCTCCTGAGCAGCATTGTTTCCCGTTATTCTCCTATGGAATTGATATGTTTTCACTCAGATACACATGATGGAACTAATCAAACCGCGACTGCGACTGATGCCCCTCCACATGCATGAGATACGACCCTGCCTTCTGTTTTTTTCTCTTTGCCCCAGATAGACGATAATGATGGATGATGGATGCAAAGATTGTATGTTCATGTATGATATTTAATGGCGGATCTGATGAAGCCTTGTTCTCCTGTTCATATCTGTTCCTTGATATGGTTGGTGGTGGGTTTTTAACCCCAGTCCCCTATCTCGCAGAGACTCGCCTGCTTGTATATATATATATCGGGCTTCTTATGTTACATTTTGCGGCTACCAGCTTCCCTCAGCAAAAATTCTTTGGATATCAAGTGAAACATTTGAATTGACCAATTCTCAATCATCCTTTATTGACATGACATCAGTTATAGAAAGGAGTCCTGGAAAATGATATATATGTAAATAAATAAATATGTAAATAAATAAGAAAAACCACATTTTAAGTATCGTCTTTCAATCTAATGGTTAAGATCTAATTGTAATGAAAAGGTCCGGGATGAGCCCGCCGTATATCCTATTCTACCTCCACGAATCTCTGTCTATCCAGTATCAGTTCCTTTTTCTCCAAAAGTCTAGAGGGCCCGCCTCCAAAATCCTTATTCAATTTGTTATACAAATTCCCGACAGTAGTGGTCTCCGTACACCCTAAAATGAAATTAAAGATAGAAACGAATGTATCCGCAGCCTTCTCTGTTGCACTCTCATCCATAAATCTCGGGTCGTACTGGAATTTCGTTTTGTAACCCGTGGGCGATTTAAACACCTCGCACATGAGGGAATAGTTGAAGAACATTCTATTCTGGCTCACACCCATGACGATCCAGCGCATATGGGCGTCGAGAGTTTTAGGTGGGGGGTCGAAGGGCTGGAAGCAGAACATGGTCTTTGCACCGCATTTGCTCCGATCAACACCGAGCGCTTTGTAGATATCTGCAAGCCCGACCATCCCGTTTTCGGTAGTCTCCCAGAAAAGCATCTGGGTATCATGCAGGAGAGTTCGGAGAGTTTTGCCCTGTTGGAAACGAGTGCGGAATGGGAGGAAATTGGCGCAGTTGCCATTGATTAATTGCGGGTTGTCGAGATTGACGTTACGCCCGGTTAGTAGGTTGTCATATGTGACGTCGAAGCTGCTGCTTAGGAATGAAAGAAGTATTCCCCAGGCTGTTTGGAAGACGATAGGTACAGTTATTCCGGAGCTGTGGGCGAAGTCATTGACCTCTATTCCGAAGGCTCTGAAAAGCATTCCTCCAACTTTAGGCTTGAGTGATTGACTGGAGTAGTCAAATCTATTCCCGTCAAGTAAATCCACCCAGAATTTGAGCATTTTTTCCGTGTCGCTGGTTGAGCAGTATCTGATGAGCTCCGTAAACTCGGTTGGTTTTGGAACTTTCTCATTTTTCACCATTGCGATGAACTGATCGTCAAATATTCGAAGTAATGTGCCGTCGTACATTGCATGGTCCATTTTGATGTACAAGTCTAGGGTGCCATCCATCGTTGACCTTAAGATTCGGTACTGAATGAAAGGTTTTCCCACTTTGAAACGGCCATCCCACAGGGTATTAATCACGCGCTCTCTGTCTTCAGGGGTGTCGTAACATATAGTTTCCAAATCTAGAATGGCCTCCTTTAGAATAACTTGTACCCATTTCGGAAGCTCCTCCTTTTTCACACTTTTGACGAACATGGCACGTAGAATCGCGTTCTTTGCCGTTAGTTTCCGCACCAGATCCAGCCACCGCTCAACATCGAAGTCAGATGGGACGCGTCTTACTGTTTGAAGTTGCCAGAATTGGTCATCGGTATGGCCTTGTGTTAGAAACTCAACCTGGCCAGGGACGCAGGGGTAAATGGCTTCAATATCATTCTGGTCAACACCAGACTGATGCAGCGTGTCATATATGTCATCTTCAATTTCGTACGCATGAGGGAAAGCAGGGAGGCTACAATTTGTCGCTGGTAAAGGCCGCATAACTCGAGCTTGCTCTTTGATAGAAGGAAATGACAACACATCGGCAACAGCTAGCTCATATCCAAGCTTGCGACACTCACTTACGAGATTAATAGCAGTGATCGAGTCGCCACCAAGAGAGTAGAAGCTGGACGTAGTCCCGAAAGAATCAAGATCACACTTGAATATGGAAGCCCAGGCATTTCGCAACAATCGTTCCTCGGCAGATTCGGGAGCTGATAAATCCGACGCTCCCTTAACAGCGGCAAATTGCACGTCTTGGTAACTTGCTACCAATGAATCTTCCATTGATTCGACGAGTTTTAATATCTCTTTTCGATTGGTTTTGCCCGAAGGGAGAAGAGGAAGATATGTAACAGGAAGCCAAACGGCTGGGATCATATAGCGTGCAAGAGTACCCATCTTTGTTTGCAACTCCTGGAAGGGGTATGCTTCTGAAGGGGGCAATAGGGGTGTGGTGTATCTTCCGATATCGCCGGGAGCTTCTGAGAGGAGTTGACAAACAGCGGCAAGTTGAGTCTTCCCGTGTATTTTCGCCGCGAGAACCACGCAAGTTTTCAACATGCCGGTCCTAAGGATTGCATTCTCGATTTCTCCGAGTTCGATACGGTAGCCGTTGACTTTGACTTGGTTGTCCCTTCGGCCAAACAGCTCGATTTGGCCGCTAGGGAGCTGACGAGCAACATCTCCAGTACGATAGATTCGAGATCCATCATTTCCAACAGAAAATGCCGTATTATCCACATCGGACCCGTCTAGATAGCCGCGCGCTACCTGAGGCCCACCTAGACAGAACTCACCTACCTCTCCCAAGGCCACTGGAGTCTCTGAATCAAACTCCAAGATGGACACGATCGTGGTAGACAGTGCCGTGCCAATATTATTGATTTTGCTATTTGGTTCGATAAGCGCAGTTGTCGCCGTGATGGTTCCCTCTGTCGGGCCATAGCTATTATAGACCGGAATTCGGGCTGCCCAGTCGTTCAGAATCTCTGGCAAAAGAGGCTCTCCACCCACAATGAGAGCCTTCAAGCTCGGTACATCCGAAGGGATGAGGAGTTTCTTAACGATCGTTGGAGTTAAACTAATGTGAGTAACATCAAAATTATTGATGAAACCAGCAAGATTTGAAAATACTCGAGCTTGACTGACTAGGCAAAGGGTGCCTCCGGCGCTAAGTACTGTGAAAAGGTCAGAGTAGGATCCATCGAAGATATAGTTGAGGGCCCATAGCGATCTCCACGAGTCGTCCGTTTTAGTTGCCTCCATTATACCCTTGGTAGCGTGAAAAACATTATCGTGAGTGACGAGCACTCCTTTCGGGTCACCAGTACTTCCAGATGTGAAGATAACATAAGCAAGATTCTCAGGACATAAGGTAGTGACAACGAAATTTTCACAACTGAATTGAGAAAGATCTAGTTGGTCCAACAGCAAGTATTCATAGCCAAAGTTCTCCAATGAGTAAGAACTGGCAAGATCCGTGACAATCAATTTTGCTTTAACTTTCTTCAAGATAAACTGGTTTCGTGATGATTGACCTGCTGGGTCCAAGGCACAAATTGCAGCGCCGGCTTTGAAAACCCCAAGTATGGCAATTATCATATTGATCGATTTGTCGAGGCAGATAGGGATAACATCCTCTGGGAGGATTGCTCTAGACCGAAGGAAGTTAGCTAATCGATTTGCTTGCTCATTCAGCTGCTTATACGATATATTATTTCGATTTTCGTCCACCAAGGCGGTTTTGTCTCCGAAGCGAGAGACGCTATGTTCAAACAGTGAATGTGCAAATTGGGAATGAGTGTGGAGGGGTTTTGGCGTGGGAGGTTGGGAGGTGGAAGGCAGCATTGAGCTTAATTTAAGATCGCCAACCAGCGCCTGCGCATCGAAGGAAAAGGCATTGAAAACTGCGCCTAGTCCGGAGAGAATATTTTGGGCAAATGACGAATCTAGAGTTGAAGATAAGGAAATATTGCTTAGGTCGGAGTCGCATGCCTCGAGTTTGATAAAGTCAGTAAAACCCGGATGCTCTTCCGAAACGAACGTAAAGGTGTCATCTGCATCGGATGAAGGTGGCTTCACCAAGAAATTAACGGACGTGTCAAATAAGCCAGCCGGCTGGCCCGCAGCAAGCAAAATATTCCGCAGCCCAAAATGAGCATGCTCTGCGACCGATTGTATTTGGAGGTGGATTTCTTTCGCAACTTTGCCAATGGTTGAGGACTTGGAGATTTTAACACGTAAGGGAACTTGCACAACAGTCGGCCCTTCCATGAGCAGAATATCTGGAATCGGCACGTCTCGGCCAAATAGTGTAATGCCAAATATCACATCGGGTTTTCCAAGAATGAGAGAAAGAACTAATGCCCATGATGCATATAAGATCGAACCGACAGAGACTCCAATCGCTTTACTGGTTGAATAAATCGGAGTTGTCAAGTTCACAGTGGTGACATTATTTGGGCCCGACGTGTGTCCTAGCCTCGAAGGTTCGGAGTCCCGAAGGTAATTGCGCCAGTACTCTTGAGTTGAGATTCTGTCCTGTTGGGTAAGGTACTGCACAAACTGATTGTACTGCGGGCGACTAACTGGCGGGCGTGAACGGATCAAATTGGACAGATCATCAAACACAAAGCGGTTGGACCAAAAATCAAAAAGAGCATGATGCATAGTAAAAATTAGCTCCCCAGTGGTGAGCACAGTGACTTTGAAAAAAGGCTCTTCCATAGTGATGGTGACTGGCCTTTTCTCCAGGTACTCAGCCAGTGTCATGTCTAGGTCTTGCCATGGTAAGGGACTTTTTTTGGGGACTGTTTGAATGTAAGTCCTTCCGTAAGGAGTAAATGTGCTCCGAAGAAAGGTATCGGTTTTCAGAAGGCATTTCAGAGCGGCCTTCACTTCACCAATACTGGTGTTTTTTAACGTCACCACCCTGTCATAGACGTATTTCGCACCATCTAGCATAACATCGGCAATCAAAGGCTCTTGCGATGGGGTCGAAAGCCATGCATCCTCAATTTCGTTCGGGGCGATGTAGTCTTTAGGAAGAAGGGAAAACGCTTCTGGCCGTACTACCGGATTGTTTATTCTTTTGCAGGTGCTCGCCACCTCAAGTAGATTGTTTTGAAGCATGATATTGTGAACCTTTACATCAATAAGTTCCTTGCTAGCGTGTGACGCAGCGATTATGGCAGAAAGAGAAGAGCCGCCAAGATTCAAAAAGGATGCTTCCAAATTTATGCTCGTTTCAGGTATACACAAGACCTCTGCCCATATCCGCCTTAGCGAGCTCTCCATCGGAGTGAGATGGCACTGCTCTATGCTCTGGTTCGCAGACGTAGAATTAACAAGCATTTTCTCTGGCGGAATCGCCTGTACAAGCCTGCAAAGCTGAGGAACATCAACTTTGCCGTTAACGTTCAGAGGTAGATGAGACTGCTTCCACCAATATGCAGGAACCATGTATGACGGCAGAAGATCTCGAAGAATTTTCTGTAAGTTGCGGACAAGAGTTGGCCATTCTGTTTCCCCTCTAGGCACTACGACTGCGACGAGTGACTTCTGGCTTCCCATTGTCGTAGATACAGTCCACGAATCATAAACGTCAGGATGTTGTTGGATATAGCAGTTTACCTCACCCGGCTCGACGCGTTGACCGTTGATCTTCACTTGAAAGTCTATGCGGCCTATCATTTCAATGCGGCCATCGGCATGGGTTACAACCATATCGCCCGTCCGATAAAGGCGCCCGGGACCAAATGGATTTTTTATGAAAGACTCTCGTGTTCTCTCGGGTCGGTTAAGGTAGGATCGTGCAAGTTGTTGACCACCAAGACACAGTTCCCCTGGTTCAAGTATTGCAGCAAGTCGCACCGTTCCAGGGACAAGAACGTAGGAGCGGGTTGAATCGACAGGGCGACCAATGTTCTGAGGGTTCTGTTTCGGCTGCATGACATGACGCCAATTGATCTGTGTAACCTCGCTTAAACCGTACGCATTTAGAAGCTCGAGTTTGCCCATCCAAACCGGCAGGAGGGCAGGATTGATCAGCTCGCCAGCGACAGTCATTCGGCGTAGAGTGGGAACGCGTGTTTGGTCAATGAGAGCCGCTGTTGATGGTGTGACATCTATGACATTCACGCGCATAGAATTGATCATATCGGTGATTCGAACAGTCAAGTTTTCTTTCCTGGCTAGGCATAAGCAGCCTCCTTGCTTTAATGTAGAGAAAATCGAACGCTGCGCGGCTGAGAAGATGGGATTATGGAAAAGAAGTTGGCGAAGGTTCGGAAGAGTTGGGAAGGCCATCAGGCCCGTGTATGCTGATTTGTGCTCTAACAAAACACCCTTTGGCTTTCCTGTCGAACCCGAGGTGTATATGACATAACAAATGTCAGTTGTATCTTGCGGTACCTCTATATTTGAGAGAGCGAAGCCGGGGGCACGTTCTATCAGGTTTTCGATCAGAACAGGATTTGCGAAGTTGACGGCTAAACTCTGATCTGAAATAACAAATGGTGCTTGAACATCATTGACGATAAACGAATTTCTCTCGGGGGGACTTTCAGGGTCCAGAATAACGTATGCGGCACCTGTTTTTAATATTGCCAAGATGGAAACGATCAATTCAGGTGAGCGGTCCATGCACACAGGCACGTAGTCACCTCGGCCACAAGTAAGCTGGCGAGCAACTTGATTAGATAGTCCATTGAGGCCTTCGTACGTAAAGGCCGTTTGACCTTCGAAGTTTAGACATTCATGTTGCGGATTCAGCTCAGCTTGGTACTCAAAGAGTCCATGAATAAGGCCGGCGACGGGGAACGTAACGGGCTTACTGCACTGTAGCAGAAATTCCTTTTCCTCTTTGGGTAAAATGTCCATATCCGACACAAGCGCGTTTGGATATTGCACAGCTTCATTTACTAAAGATATGAAATGGCCGAGAATGACTTGTAGATCTTTGTCGCCAGATCCTTCAGAATAGTAGTGCATATTAACCAAATGGCGCCCAAGATCGATATTTATTGTTAAAGGAAAGAGAATATCATCATCTCCTTCCTCAAGAATATCAAGCGCGTCGGATACAATCAAACGCACTTGCACATCCAGAGGGTAAATTTGGTGCTGAATTTTGCTGTATCCTATAAAGGCATTCCTTGAGGACTGCTGGTCAATCTTGGAAACTTTGCGAATCCAACTCAGTAGCGATAGATGATTTTCAATCACCACCTTTAGAGGGAAGCATAATTCCGCATGCCCAACAATGGTATCGTAGCCGGGCACACTGGTGTCTCGACCAGTGACAGCAAAGACAGACGTGCCATCAGTAGCCGCGGTGTGGCGATATTGAACCAGCGACCATATTGCGTGGATAAAATCTCGCATTGATACGGCATGGGCGTTCAAAAATTCGTGGATGGACTTCACCAAAGTCTCGTGTAGGTTGGATGTGAGGGTGTTTCTCATGCCGGAGGTTTTAGTTGGGAAACCATATGAGAGCGAGGTAACAGTTCCATTCATTAGATTGCGCCAATAGGATAGCGCACTCTGACTATCCCGTTCCGTTATGTGCCTCATGTAATATTTGAAATGACCGTGAGGTTCGCAGGATAGACCGTGATAAAAAAGATCAAAGTCTCGAGAAATAAGCGCAAGGGATCTACGGTCAACCAACACCTGGAAGATACGGAGACGGAGGGTTACACCCGTTTCGCTGAGAGCCACAGTGAGCTCGGCAGTTTTCATCGAAGCAGTTTTTAATGCCCCATGGTCTGAGATACCCTGGATGCGAATAGGAGTAGCCCTCCTTAGAACAACGAGGCGGGGCTCTTGATCAGCTCCGTCGTATTTGATCGACGTCCGGAGGACAGGATTATGACTAGCCACAGCCTGCCAGGTGTATACAAGCCGATCGATGCTTGGGCAAAGCTGGCGTGTATCCCACCGCAGAGTATATGTTGGCAAATTTCCATGGGGCGATCGAGAAAGGCATTTGCGCTGCTGCTCGGTACATTCGCTTTCCTCCTGGAGCTCAGAAATGGCCATCTTGAGATGCGCTGGTCGTGATCCTCTTCTGTATGGCGGCGGCTTCTGGAAGGTGAAAAGGAACGGTAAGCAAAAATAGTAGGAAGGTTCTTAATATTTGTATAACGGATAAATTGAAAGGACCCGTTGGGTGTACTTGATATTTGATTCTTTATAAAAAAAGACGCTTCCACTTCAAGTGCACATCGACCGATGCATATTTATACTGCGCCGAACTACGATTGGGAATATCAACGCGAGGAGCGGATCATGTTGTTGCGCCGAATCTGCCTGTTTCCGTAATTGTCGTATTCATTTTACCATCTCCAGCAGCGATTCAACTAGGCTGGCGCCCTGAAGAACGGGCTGCTCGGGCTGAGTCGCCATCTGGATCTATGATTATGCAGTAGTCCAAAAGTCAATGAAGGAAGTAGAAACCAAACGCCATCATTTTGAAACAACCCACAGGGCTCCTGGCCCCCGAAGCCTGGCAGAGGCGTCATCAGCCCTGGCAGCTGGTGAAATTCGAATGAGACTATTTGACCCACGCACAATCCTTCCACGTGTTAATTGAAACCTAGCAAATCAATATATAGATGTATTTCTATATATATACATATGTGTATCTCTGTGTGCGAGTCGAAAACACCCCTAGCCTGTCGTGCTATTTCGTATCACCCGATATTAGCCACGAGGATACCATGCTCAAAGTTCGGGTGTTTCAAGTAGTGGCTATTCGAATCGAGAGCCTACCAGGATAAAAGGAACATTGTGTGAATGCCCAGTGGAGACTAACTTTTTCGTCAAGCTGCGGTGCGTGTAATCCAAGCGCACCGCAGCATGAAGAAGCCTTGGCTGATCAAGCTATATTCAGCGAGGACTGTTCATAAGTTAGTTTGGAGTGCCACGTTTTGGAGATTGTGTGTCACTTTCAGGGTTGGTAACAGCACACATGGCATTAAATTTAGCTATACGTCCTACGTTAGAACTATAAATAAGCGGATTATACAAGTAAATATCGTACGGCGTGCTGATTGAAAAAATAAGCTTGAAAAATGCGCTTGCGCTCGGCTGGAGCACGGTATTATGGGACACTCACAATGAAATTAACTCTCCGAGTAAAAAGGACAAGGGATCCCTAGTTCGTATAAACGACGGGACCCCATGCCGCCTGGTAATAATCTACGCTTGTGGCCAGCAAAAGGAAGTTTGCCCAGGGGAGATGAAATAGATGAGAACAACCTTGGAAGAGGTTCAGGACCACGTGAGGGTAGAATCCGGGTAACTAACTATAGGCGGTTAGTTAGTTAACTAATGTCAACTGGTTAGTCAGCCTTAGAGATGGGCATCCAATCCTTGGTTTAAACATAAACATGATGGCCCTGATGAAATCCCCCGATGAAAAAAACTGCGGATGCAGTGACGCACATAACCCAAAATTACCACGGAGGTTAAGTAAAGCCTAGTTTCAGTTATTTCGTATACTTCGTATTGTGCATAGGATCCATCCACATGGGCATGTTGCCAGCTGACGAAATTCTAAACAGCCCCTGGGGTTCCGAGGGGCATGCTTACCGCCCTGTCAATCGGATATCGTTTGCCTGAGCAACAATAAGAAGGGTTGTCTCAGTGTTAGCTAGCCCAGTGAATCCCTCCTGCTGACTGTACAACTCCAGTTTCTCTCTTGTGGGAAAGCCTCACTTGCCATTGATGCCTCGTGGTCCGCTGTTATCCCTCCACTTTTATAGACCAACAGGCCCTGCCTCACAAGCTGGGGTGAAATCTTCCAATTCAACATTATCAGTTCCTTCGCTACGCATATAAGACTCTATTTTCCTAACTTGGCTAAACCTAGAACCTCATTGAGAAGAATTACATTCGCCTGACTGCTTCCTCTTTACTTTGTCTAATTTCTTTAATACTTCGCGTGTCATCATAATACACTGCCATAAACAATTTGGTCTAACTATCGATCACCGTGCTATTACTATCAATTCTACAGCTATGCCTTTGGCCTTGACATTCGCAAAGCCCAGCCCGCAGGCAGCAGAGGTCCTCTTGCTGGAGGAGTATTCGAAACCGGAACCAAAGCACGATGAAGTTCTGATCGAATTCCTTGCTGCCCCAGTCAACCATCTGGACCTTCTAGTTGTCGCAGGCAAATATCCTATAAAGCCAAAATCCCAGCTCAATGGGAACAATGTAGGTGGCTTTGACGGTGTGGGCCGCATTTTGTCGTGTGGCAAAAGCGTCGACAAATTTACCCCGGGTGATCTTGTCATCCCAAAAAAGCCGGGTCTAGGGACATGGCGTACACATGCAACATTGAGCGCGGACGATTTGATCGCGATCCCCACTATTCCGGACGTTACGTTTGCGGCGATTCTCAAAACATGCGTGCTTCCCGCTTATTTTTTACTCGAAGACATGAAGCAGCTGAAGCCAGGCGACTGGATTATCCAAAACGCAGGCTTGGGTGCCATTTCGCAGATGGTGACTCAGTTTGCGCATTTACGCGGGGTGAAGGTGATCTCCATCATTCGCGATCGTTCGCCGGCGACAGACTGGAATACGGAGGCTGATATTGTTCTCAGCGAATCGGAATTACCAAACGCAGAAATTCTTATGGGAAAACATATAGTTCTCGGTCTAGACTCCGTGTTCGGACGGTCGGGAGAAAAGATCGCCAGCTGCCTCTCAGCCCACGGAACTTTCGTAAATTATGGCCAGCTGAGTGGTGGGGGCCCAACAGCCTCCTTCAATGTTACACATCGGCAGGTTTTCTGGGATCGTTTGACATTTCGGTGCTTTCGAGTCACCGAACAAACCGCTCTGCGCACTGATTCCGAAATCAAAGACCTCTATGCCTGGTTTACCGAACTCTTTGGAGATGGCAGATTGAAACTCCCCAAACTGAACGTTGTCAGCTGGTCCGGCGAGCGGGAGAATGTTGCCGCTAACATTAGGGCGGCGATAGCGAGGCAGCAGAGTTCCATTTTGGGAACACAGAAAACAGTCTTCCTGTACACATCTGCTACGAAGGCGCCCCAATGCATGATCCCATACGTCAATATAGAAACAGCCTCTGAAGGTATTGCTGCTGCCTTGAAAAAGATGCCCATGAAAAGACATATCTTTTATCTTCTAGCGCATTCTCCAGGCCTTTTCCCTCCGATAATGGGGGTCTACTCAGCGTTCTTCCAGAAAGCTACCCGGACCTTGCCGCTGTTGGATTGGCAGCTCATAGTTCTGCGAATTGCGTCTACTCTAAAATGCCAATACGAATGGGATGTCAACGCACCCGTTGCCAAAGTTTACGGAATGAGCGAGGAAGCCATGAGTGCAGTAAGGGCGTGCAGAAATATTACTCTGCAGGGAGGCAACGTGAACCACTCAAACTTTTTCTCAAAGAGACAGCTATTGATACTAAAATTCGTTGACGAGCAGCTGAAGACTTACACCAATGAGGAGGGTACGATGGCTCAGCTACTTGGCGTTCTGAGCTATGCGGAGTTGGTTGAGGCTGTTTTCGTGGTTGGATTCTATGTTATGATCGCAAGGCTGATCAAGGCTGTGGGGATTGATCCGGATGCGGAGATTCCTGGATTGGAGGATATGATCAGGGCTGGAGTAAACTAAATTGTTGTCATACATGGTGATCAGAGCTATAAATATAGAAAACAAGTTTTCAGGTTCAATGTGCTACAAACTCCGTATAACTTCCCTAGGTGAACCCTAATATCGCCCCCAGCTGAACAAGAGGGTTAGTTAATAGCAACATGCTATACTCTTCGGGTGAACTTAAATTTAACGAATAATGTAGACTTCGTATCGAATTTCCCTATTGCATGTAGTGTAAGCAATGCCTCCTTGTGAAATGTAGAACAATATCAAGACTGTCAAGCTGGTCAGCATTTCCATTTATTTTTTCAACTGAACTGCATGCACCTGTATCAATACGGAGTAGTTTGAGGGACAAAATAAGGGCGATCATTCCGGCGTGAAGTTGAAATAAACCTGACGCTAAAAACAATGCCAAGAACCCGCTACCACACCCCGTTCTCAAGCGGACCGACAGCGTGAACCTAATTTTGACCTCGGGTATATTGCCAGGAGACTTTGCTACGTAGTACATACAACTCCAACAATACAACCGTGGCTTGTTTGGTAAGGAGTGAAACCATAATACGATATCTGAAGAGCACGACTTCATTTTGTACCACCCAAGGAGTAGCCAATGGCTACTGGGCGGACCAGCGACATCATGAAAATACCCTAATCTGGAAAAATACGAGATGGCAGTTTATCTGAGACTTTTGCGATGAATCACCACGAAACTTCTAAAATATCCAATGACAAAGGGGTTTATACGAGTGGATTATAAATTTCAATGATTTTTGTGGCGTTTCCAATGCAATGGCCTGCCAAAATCAAATATCTCTCTGGGCTGTTGAACTTCAGATTAATTCTCCTGGAGGGCTCAAAGGTTGACATTATTTTGAGAGTAAAAGACTCCGAAGGCAAACAACAACACCATTTGACATTAGAAGCTTAATTCATGATTGCTTGTCTGCTACCAGCTCTACCGGCGACTGGAAATATCCAACATGCCCTCCAGGATCAGTGCCTTTGCGCCTAACCTCCAGTTCGATAATCTTCAAACATGCTTATTTTTGCTGGCTTGTTTATTCTTCGTTAGCTGCATATGGACTAGGTATAGTCCGGGCATTCGAAATGTGCCCGGTCCATTTGTCGCCAGCTTCTCAAACCTATGGAAGATATATAGGGTTTTACAAAAGGATATGGCATGGCGGAACATCGAGGTTCACGAAAAGTACGGTCCTCTTGTGCGGATAGGGCCAAACCATGTGTCAGCATCTGATCCAGAGGCTTTGAAGACGATATACAGCTTTACCAATATCTTCCCCAAAGTAGGTCACAGCATTCTCATTTACCTACAATCTCTCAGGAGCAAGAATCAGGAATGGCACGTATCTGCATTTTTTTTTCTTTTTTTTTTTCCTCCAAATTACATAGGTAACAGATCTATTAGTCTGAATTCTATTCCATCGGGGAGGGCCTTTATGAGGGCAAGAAATTACCCACGCTTTTCACAACGCGGAGTAATGAGTACCATGCACAGTTGAAGCGGGCTTCAGCCAAGGGTTTCTCGATGACGGCCATCTCGGAGTTAGAGCCATACGTAAACGGGTGTATTGAGTTATTTCTAAAAAAAGTCGAAGAGCGCTCAAATGATGGCAAAATGGTCTTTGATATTGGACCGTGGATGCAATTCTTTGCATTTGATGTTCTTGGAGAGGTCAACTTCTCTAGAAGCCTTGGGTTCTTGGAGACAGGCGCCGATGTTGATAACAACATTGCCGCAATTGATCAGTTTTTGTCTTATGTTTCTTTGGTAAGCTATGTTCTGTTAAGCTTACTCTGGCAGCGGAAATTATAACTTTTCTCCAGATCGGACAGATACCCACCGCAAACTATTTTTTTCTGGGAAATCCAATTTTACCGTTAATCTTTTCGAGCTATGAGAAAATGAACAAAGTGCAAGAGGTGCGTTAGCCAACCTTGTCTCCTGTCGCCTCTGTCAGTGCACTGGGTGTATTCGCTGAAGGTACTATACAAAAGTTCGCTATCGCCATGGTTAAGGAACGCAGACAGAACCCGGTTTCTCGAAAGGATATACTTGCAGCTTTATTTGAGGTTCATGACTCTTCTCCTTCAAAGCTATCATCTCGCGAGATCGTTGCCATTACAACTACCAATATGTGAGCTATACCCCTGACAAAGCAGTCTAAGGTTCAAATATTAACATGAACTAGTCTCGCTGGTTCCGATACGACGGCAATTACCCTAAGGGCCATATTCTACTATCTGTGTAAAAATCTGTCGATGTATCGAAAACTTCAACGGGAGGTAGACAGTGCAGTTGAGGCGGGTCGGCTGTCCAAACCCGCTACATACAAAGAAACTACGACATTAACATACCTGTAGGCTTAGCATTATTAGTATTGTTGCCGAGAGTATGCAGGAATGATTGCTAACTTGTTCATGTAGTGGTGCTGTGATCAACGAAGCCATGCGCATTCACCCTCCAACAGGATTTATTTTGGAACGTGTCGTCCCAGAAGGTGGTGTCACACTAAATGGCACATATCTGCCAAAGGGAACTATTGTGGGAGTCAATCCCTGGGTGATAAATTATAACAAACAAGTATTTGGTGAGGATGTCAACGTGTTCCGACCTGAGCGCTGGCTTGAGGGGAGTCCAGAAGAGAGAGCCGACAAAAATAGAAATATGTTCGCGGTAAGTGCTATTTGATTTTATTGCATTTGTCAAATGTAGAGTGTGTTTACTGAGATAGTATTCACTTTAAGTTTGGTGCCGGTCCCCGTGTCTGTATTGGAAAGCACATCAGTCTTTTGGAGATGTGGAAACTTGTGACAGAATTTGTCCGTCACTTTGATTTCGAGTTGGAGGATCCCAAAGCGGAGTGGAATATACAGGCTGGATGGTTTGTAAAACAAGAAGGCCTAAGATTGAAGTTCAAGAAGAGGGTTTGAGTGACCTTTTTTTCTTGGTGCGGAAGAAAAGTTTGATATTTGCACACAGTACAGTAGGTATAGGTATTTAGGGACGATTTTACCTTATAATATTATGACATCTACTACACCTTTTGAAGATTATAAATCTCATTAATGTTCCTTCCTCTCTGCAGTCTTGCTTTCGTGGCTTTGGAAGACGAGGATCATAAGTAAAATATTTATACAATGTTTTTAATCAATATGTGGGTCGTGACAGATTTCACACTTTAGAGATAGATAACTTGAACTTGCTCATATATCAGCAAGTTAAATGAACTATTTATAAAATTCTATCTGAAGGTATTTTATATATTATCCAGAACTCTGATGACAAGTATATGAACAGATCAAAGAATATGAGAGAGAACAAGTGTAAAAAGTTTAACTGAATAAGCATGAGAAAATCTTTCACATTGAATCTATTTTCTTCACTGTTGTCAGAATGAGAATTCATATAAAGATTAATACAGAGAATGTGAAATCAGTAAATGAGAATAGTATTTCTGTCTCTACTGCGGAGTATTTAACTAGTACGGAATTGGATAAATATGGCTCCCAGAGAAGTGGATATTGAGAGAAGCTTTTTTGAACGACACTCCTCTGCCCTGTCTCGTCCAACAACAATTTGAAGATCAACCCGACCTGTGAGGGCCAACAATACTTAGCCTCCAGCAATAAGACGCTATACTAGAAGGTGGCTCCATTTGAATTTGTGACCCCTTGCCCGTTCTCCATCTGTTGGTCTTTCAGCTTAATGAAGCTCACACCATCAAAAACAGGCAGCATCACGACATCTACCCTAGGATCCTCGATGACCGCATTGTTGAATTGCCTCAGTGCCTTACCGCATGCCGTCCAATATGGGCGGACACTATCAGGAAGGGTTGGGTTGAACTCCGGTGAGATCGTCATGCCCCGAGCAAACACTAACAACTTGTTTAGCGATGATGTGCAAAAGAGGTTTGGATTGAACGTGGGAAACACACCATTGTCACACATAATCAAACCGTTCTTCGAAAGGAGGTTTCTCTCGAGAATGGTGTTGACATAACCCTCGTATCCATCCTTGTTGGCATCAACGAAGATGAGATCGAAAGTGCCCTCAAGTGTTTTGAGCCTTTTATCAAGCACAGAATATCAGTAAGATTAGTCGGCATGAATTGATTGTTCTTTGCTGAACACAGTGAAAAACGCGCTGAATAGAGGATATATCATACGACTCGTCGGCTGGGCCCTCAATTAGGGTCACTCTGTCGTTGACGTTGTACTTGTCAAAAATTCCCCTAGCAGCCGCAATCATCTCCGGGCTGAGTTCCAAGGTGATTATTTCTGCCTGGGTAGCCTTTGTGCCTTCGTACCACGCCAAAGCGCTATATCCGGAATAAGTTCCGATTTCAAGAACTGTTTATCAAAATTAGCCCCCAAGCATGCAACAACGGGACATCTAGGTTCCTCACTTCTTCGTGGCTTGCGATCTTGAGCCAAAAATATCATCCACGAGCCCTATGAAATCATCAGCCTCGTTTTAACATGTAAGTGTTTCTTGAAGCCTCCGCTTTCCTGGTGGTTCGAGCTTGACTTACCTGTATGGGAGACGACATCTTATCCGCGTCTTTGAATGATTTCGCGGTGTAGCTCCATACCTCTTCCATCATCTGAGGAACGCCATTGGTGTATTTGAGGCAATACTCGCTCACTTCCTTAGCGACCTCAGGCTATACGGAAAGTTAGCTGATGGCTGCAGCAGTGGGTGGCATTGAGAACCTTACACTAAATGGTAAGATGCTATTCAACATTTTTGTTTCTGAAACGTGTTGTCCGGCTTTCTAGATAAGCACACACTTTTTGTTGTTAAGTCGATTAAGCTGAGATCACTTCTGACAGTGTATGCAACGATAACTACAGATCACAATTGCGAACCAGCGCCCTTTTATGCTAAACACCCCATTGACGTGCTACGATGTAACTGATAATTTACCACGATATGTTTAATTACGCCAATGTTAAATTTACCTAGGTTGTTGTGTACGGGAAGTTTATATATACATAAACTACAAAATATCTGCAAATCTGGACTCTCAGCCTGACTCTCTTATTCGATACTCAATATAACCCCCGAAGAAAGACTCTTACATCTCATACAAATCATCCTTGGGCGCTTTTTGACTGCCCATTTCCATTGTCAAGCCTCTAATGAAGAGCGCAGTTTTACAGCTGTGGTGGCGGAATCCAAAGTTATGAGATTTAAGAACTGCTGATATTTTCGTATGTGCCGCCGCTATGTATTTATTTTTGGCGGGCGTTGTAACTTAGTACCAGAAATAACCTATGTATGTGCTGTCATGAATGCTAGTCGGGAATGAATTACGACGCCATATCTTCAGGCTCCCTGGCTTCAGCCTTCTCCGAGCCGCCTTGTACAGTACATTTGGCCAAGCTGATTGTGTATGTCTTTCTATTCTCGACCTTTTTACCTATTTCGGTTTCTGGGCTCAGCAGGCAATACCGTAAATGTCCGAAACATACAGATACATGTACATGTACATGTGTTAGCACATAGCCAAATCGGATAGGGATAATATCAAATTGGCATGGAATAAAAAGGAATTTTGCAACCTTGGTAGACTCCCGAGCTGAAGGGGCTGGGACGTCGATAAACATGTGTGTTGCCAAATATCCTCTTCGTATTTTTCCTGTCTACAGCGCAAATGGTGTAACCTTGAGCCGATCCGTGAATCCCAGAGCTACTTGTTCATCACCGCCCAAGAGGTTTTAGTTGATCGTGATTTTGGAAAAGGTGGACGTGGCTCAAAATATGCGCCCGTAACGAAAACTCCCATGATATAAACTGTCATACTTCGGATTCATAGATAAAATCTCTTGATTGGTTCTCAAGCCCCTATTCTTGACAAGCCCTAGTTCTAATCTCTATCGTCTAGCTCAACCTTAATCTTAGTTAACTATATAACTTAAAACATATACTGATTGTATTTGTCCCAAGAGGGCTCGAAAAAAGAAAACGAGCCCAACTGATGAATCGGATTCGTCACAATCAACTTCATTCCTGTTACACAAAGCCTACAGGAACGAGAAGCTGATTAGAAATCAGATATGCAGAAATTCAGCTTTGGGTTTCCCCTTTGGCAAAAGGTGCCCGGCTCGCTGCCCGGCTGACCTTTTATTGAAAAAAGACGACTTGGAACTCTAGGGCTTGATCTTCTTCAAAATGCGTTGGAAGGGCTATCACTTTTGCTTGTCTCCATTCTATCTTGTGCTCTTGTTCTACGATTAATCTACACTGATCATGTCGGCCCCCCAGCAACCGGAATCTGACTCTGTCCAGAATGGACTCGGTGATAAATCCGCAGCGATAACCGACCCGGAAAGCAATTTGCTATCTCCATCCCCATCCCCTGAAGCTCGCAAAAAAAGAGGTATTTCGGTGAGGAATCCAATCGCTTCTAGGGCCTCCTTTTGAGAAACTGGCTAACAGCGGTCCCTTAGTGGTTCTTGGTCGTTGCCAGCACGCTTTCATGTATATTTCTCTATGCCATAGACAACACTATTACTGCCAATGTTATCCCGGTTTGTGGAACTTCCTCCTAGCTATTCCTATAGACAATCTCGACTGACTACTTCCTCTCCAGGTGATCGCATCGGACTTCCAAAATACTGATAAGCTTGCATGGCTGTCGGTTGGGTAAGTGAAGGCAAATGAAGAGAAAAACATAGGAACTGCCGTAGTCCAGCGCAATAATCTGATCACTGAATATCTAGTTTTATGATCGGCGGTGTCGTTGCGGTCCTTCCATTCGGTAAACTCTATGGGCTATTCGACGTTAAGCTTCTTTATATCTTGTCTGTTCTCCTATTTCAGGGCGGATCGGCTCTTTGCGGTGGCGCCCCTAATATAGATGCCTTCATTATCGGACGAGTTATTGCAGGTGCCGGCGGCAATGGCATGTATCTCGGCGTTATGAATATTCTTTCCATCAGCACCAACGACAAGGAGCGGCCTATGTATCTGGGCCTCGTGTAAGTCAATATCCTCCTCGTCAAAAAATATATCTCCACTAATCCAGAACATATAGCGGACTTGTATTTGGAACAGGAACTGTCGTTGGGCCCCTTATAGGAGGCGGTTTTGCCGAATCAAGCGCTACATGGAGATGGGGCTTCTATATCAACCTTTGCGTCGGCGCCCTTTTCGCTCCTGTCTACCTCTTTCTCATCCCAGGATTTGACCCGCGCGGATCTCAGAAGATCCGTTCTCGTCTGCAAGACTTTGATTATTTAGGAGGAATACTCAGCGTTGCCGTACTTGCATGTATAATCATGGCCATCAACTTCGGCGGTCCAATGTACGCTTGGAACAGTGCACAGATTATAGTTCTCTTCGTTCTGTCTGGCGTACTTGTTATCACCTTCGGTTTTCAACAGGCATTTTGTTTTATGACCAAGGAAGAGCATCGCATGTTCCCTGTCTCGTTCTTGAAAATGAAGGAAGCAGTTCTGCTCTTTATTTGCATGGCAGCTTCTAACGCGGGTGGATTCATCCCGATATATTATATCCCAACATATTATGCCTTCGTCCGCGGCGACGAACCTATGAACTCAGCTGTCAGACTCCTACCGCTAATTATCCTCATTAGCGTGGTAATCCTCATCAACGGCGCTTTGATGTCTAAGTTTGGATACTACCAGCCATGGTATGTTTCTGGAAGCATTTTAGTTATTATTGGTGGCGTTCTTTTCTGTAAGTATTGCCGTGGAGCACGCATTCCCTTAATATCGTGTTTCTTACCAGCACTCTCTAGCTCGGATCGATGTCAATACGCCAGCACGAAATATATACGGTTACGAGGTTCTTGCTGGAATTGGAACCGGCTGCTATATTCAAGCTGGATATGCTGTTATGCAAGCTTTAACTGAGCCCGCAATGACAGCATACGCGATTAGTTTCATGATGTTAGGTATGACCCCCTCATCGCACCAACGATATACCTTAGCTGGAATGAATAGCTGATATCTCATCGATCTAAACGATAGCCCAACTACTTGGAATCACCTTCGGCCTGTCCATATCCGGAGCTGTTTTTGTTAATTACACAATGAACGGTCTCCTCAATACCATCCCCAATGTCAGTCACGATGAAATTGAATCAGCTCTTCTCGGAGTAGGAAGCAATCTTCTGGGGCAACTTCCCACCGAGATCCAGGCGGCTTCCTTAGCAGTCATTGTTGAAGGTATCAAGAAAGTGTATGTAGAGGAACTATTTCCCTTCCCTGGAACCCTTGTAACTATCCACACCAGGTACGGTACTGTACTGAAATAATATCTAGATATATTCCGGTCTATGTGTCTGGCGCAGTGGGTCTCGTTGCTTCCATTTTCCTAAATGTAAGATTTGCTACCCTTACCTATCCTATGGTGACACGGCGCTAACGGCTCTTTATAGAGAAAGGGAACGGTACATGCTTAAAAGGCTCTGCTTGGAGGACTGGCGCAGGCGTTGCATCGAGAATGAATACAGATATATATATATATATATATCACAAAAGTAATGGATACGCGCTTTCCTTACATTCTGGGACTCATGGTTTGATATCGTAATCTATTCTGATCAAACCGATATACCGCAACATAATATCATAATCGTCATCTTTCAAAATATGCCCCAAGGTTGCTCATTTTGTTGTCTACTACTTATATCTGTATTAAATGTATTATTTCATCCCATAGGATACCAACATTTCGACGTAGCACCCACGATTTCACAGTGGCCAAGTATAATAACGTGTAAATAATGTCCCTCACACAGGTAACTTCTTGCCGCTATTACGTTCGATGAATATTGCAGCTACGGCCTGATGTCATTCTCCTGGAGGACACACCCGCGTGCTGGCGCAGTTCCCAAGTCGGTAGCTTCATTTCATATTATAAAGCAGTTTATACAAGCTACAATTGATGATTTAAATATAATTGACCTCTAATTACACTGAAACTGTTAAAAAAATATAAAATTAGTTAATATATTTTTATCACAGTATTTATTACAAAAAACATTCAAATATCAAGAAAGAAAATAAGCTCTATTCACTATAAAATTCTCACAGATTTATAAGAAATGGCTTTTTTTTACATATATTATTTAATTGAGAGATTATAGTTTCTTTTATATATCTCAATCTCTCTATATATTATAGAAAAACCAACTTTTCCGAGTAAAATGCCCTGTAACGTGACCTCACGTGACATCACATGCACCCCATCAAAAATCCATGGATATGTAGTGGTGCCTGCCAATTGCACCACTCTATCTACCCCCTATCATCACCACCGCCTCTAACGCCCCGTAGCACCCCCTATCACTTCCACTCCATACCCCTATCCCCATCTTATCACTCACTCTTACCACCTCTACCACCTCTATCACCTCTACTCTCTCTATCACCACCACTGCCTCTAACTGCCTCACAGCACTCTCTATCACTTTCACTCTCTATCTCTATCCTCATCTTATCATTCTACCCCTCTCTTACCATCTCTATTATCTCTCTCACTTCTATCATCTCTATCATCTCTCTCTGTCATCTTTTTCACTCTCTAGTCTCTCTATCATCATCATTATCTCTACTACTCTACAGTCTCTTCTATTACTTTCACTATCTCTACTTCTCTCTTACTATCTCTATCATATTTTGATCTCTGTATTTATAGTATATACTGCTAAATACTCTGTAATAAAATCTCATGTGATGTCATATATATCTCTTTGAATTCATGAATGAGATTGAATAGCTGACTCTGCAATCTGTACAGCTCTGATTAATCTGATAATAGTGATAGAGATGATACAGAGTGAAAGAGAGTAGTAGAAGGAGTAGAGATGATGATAATGATGATGATGGAA